CCTAGTCACAATGGACAGACCTATTATTATGCACAAAACTCACAGACATGCACACATTCACCATCTTGAGTTCTTAACTGTAACCCACTAGGGTGTATGTAAAATTATATTGAAATCAGAGGATTTGGAACTGTTGGGGAATAGCCTACGTGGAACGCACTGTACCACTGGAAACTTTGTTTCAAAAACTGAAGCAACAAAAATCCATTTCTTTCTGGCTGAAGAGTAGAACTCTCAACATTGGATCTGCTGTCTTTTTTTGTCACAAAGTCTGGATCTACAATATGCTTTGCCACTTTGCCGGTGTGAGTCAGTGAACTCTCAGCTGACGGCCATGTAAGGCACATCCCAAAAGACATTTACAAGACAGATTGCCACCTGATGCCTCCTCATCACAACTCGCCTGAGGCAAACCGAAGGATCAGATGTGATGATTGCCATGATTACTGGCACGGGACAACCAAGTGACTATCCTCCGAGAAAAGACATGTCTTTCCATCTACTAGCTTTAAACAAGAAATGAATCTGGACTAAACGCATGATCATTACGGTATGTCTCTCTAAGATAATAATCCATTGCATGAAATGCAGGCAACAGCTGACTGCACTTTGAACAGACCTGGGACCAATTTTAAAGAGCTGCTTAAGCAGGGGGGAAAAATCCTTACTTGATAAATCAGGTAACCAGCCAAAACTCCATGTTATGTATATTGTTTTGGGATCGTATTTGACTGTTTTTTGATTAGCATGACTATCAGATAGAGTTTGAGCTGGCAACCGTTGTTTATTAAGCCAAGTTTTTTCCCGCATAAGCAAATTTTGTGCTTAAGCGGCTCTATGAAATCAGCCCCAGTATGCAGTGCACAGGTCAGTGACAACTACAGTTTGTCCATGTTTACTGCTATGAAAGCAAATAGTGAAAAGCAAGACAGTGAAACCTGTAACAGGCATCAGTGCTGGATTCATCTCTGCGCTCGTGCACAGCTCTGGCAAGACATGACTCAGAACCATAAATAAAGCTTTCAAGGTCTGGCCTCTGTCGGGTTTGGGTTTCCAAGTTCAGATCTAAGTGCATGGATGCCCACAGGGGGAGTCACAGGTAACATGAAAAATTCATGAAAAATTCTTCCCTGCTTTCTTTCCAAACATGACTGAAACCCTTGACATTAAGAAAAGGTTCACAGACAGAAAATAAACAGATAACTTTTTGCTCAATCCATTCCCAGATTTGCACTCTCTCCGAGCTGAATGTACCTGTAGCAGTGAACCAAATTTTGACAGGCAAGAAACTGAAGGCATTTCTTTGAGCAAAAAAGACATTAACAGTTTCATCAAACTTTAACTACTTTTTCCTACTATTCTTACTAACCTTTACCAGAAACTCATGCAGGATAGCAATTCAGGATAACTGCGACATGTAACTATTTTACAAATTGCAAACTGACCTCTGGGGATGTTTTTTGCAAGAAGACTTTGAGCAAAAACAAAAAAAGACAAATTAATTTCATCACACAGCAAAGGTTATTTCTGCTGTTTTAAGTGACCTTCATATTTTACAAAACCTTCCAAGTAATGACTCATGGTGACCAAAATATATTTCTGTCTAAATTTGTGATAACCACAACTTTAAATAAACAAATTGCACATTTAGGGGGGGGAAATGGGGGTTTCAAGGAAACTTCCTAAAATTCTAAAATATTCAATCCAGTATACATATTAACTGATGACCCATTCTGTTTACTGATGTAGAACTCAGGGGAGTGAGTGGCCCCATGTACATATGTAAGAAAAAGTGAAAACAACTAGCAAGAACCTGAAACTTAGAAAAGTTCCCATTTTGTGCAAAGCACACATACATGTACAATAAAGCTGAACTTTAGAGCAAACATCTGTTAAACAGCCGAATTCTCACATCCCTGAGAATTCTTACATCCACATTTACAGTAATGGTCATTCTTGGGTCCTCAATCTGTCAAATTACTGCAAAACTATGGGCTAGATTTTGAGAAACTTGCTTTTAAAAAAAATTGAAAATCTGTGCTCCCAAAAAAATTGGCTTGAGACTTTTACCTTGCAGATGAAATCCCTGAGTGTCCCCGTGGCATGGTAGGTGCGTATGGCGAAGCCTCCAGTCTCGTTGGCAGATGCAAAGGTGACGGGATAGATGTAGGGATGCTGGATGGTGGGCAGCACCTTCATGGCCTGAAGAATGTCCTTATCCTCCATGACCTTGTCTGGTCCAAAGTCGGACTGCAGCAGACAAGAACACACCGTTAAGGCCTATGCCACTTCATGCCAATGTGAATGGCAAGCAACTCTGATGCTACAACATGTCTGCAACTTTAAGTATGTGCTTCCATATACCCGGTTTCGGGTACCTTAGGTTTGTACGCATGGCCGGGGGTGCCCGAAGTTGGACAAGAGAGCTGGGCCTTCCGTACTCGGAACAAAAGACCGAGCTGCTGGGAATTGCCAACATTTTTTCCAGTTGTCAATAGCGGAGGAAATCCGTCATTGTTTTGAAATATTATACCACTGTTTGTGGCATTCAGCACGAGTGGATTACCACTGGGGAAAAAAGCACTCCAGCACTCCAGCGATGAGCGATACAATACCACTGCATGCTAATCTGGCCCCTATTGAAAAGACTAGCGCACTGTGCTGTTTTGGGAATAAAAGAAAGTTACATAACACTGCACAATCTGGGCTCTTTTTAGAAGGCGGCAGGCCTGGCTGAAATACTCAGGCATCAATAGATGTTGTCTGTCAGATTAGAGTAGCCACCAGACAGTCACTTGATGGGGTTTATGCGTTCAGGAAAAAGATAAGAATTGTGGAAGATTTTTGAAAACCGAAGATATTGAAAAATCGCCCGTATGTAGGCACTGCATTTTCAGAAGGCTCCTGGCGGGAAGTGGTTAATAAATGCGACAGAGTCGAAATAAGTGCCACTAAGTCAATATAACATGAATCGCGGAGTCTTCAAAAAATGCACCCGTCACACTTGCAGCCACTGCGGCAGACAGAAACCCAACAATTTAACTGATGCTCTTTCCCGATTCATAGAAATGCAAAGCAAATTTGAAGATGCAAAACATCTGCTGCGAGATTCAGCAGGGTTTGAATGTGCTCAACTTTTTCAAGTGCCATAACATTAACCACTTCGTGCCGGGGCATTTTTCAATGTTGACGATGCTTGGCTGGCATGACCATCATTTCTTCCGTTTTCAAAATCCTTAAAAAATTCATCATTGCGTTTAACGGTCGTTTATAGCTGCATGAAGTAATCTTTAGGCACTACTCTTAGTTGACAGGTGACCTTCATGGACACCCAAGTATTTCAGCCAGGCCTGCAGCCTTGTAAAAAGAGCCCAGATTGTGCGGTGTTATGTAAATTTCTTTTGTTCAAGAACCTGGCTAAGTGCACTGCTGACCTCTTTTCAATAGGGGCCAGATTAGTGTGCAGCGGTGCTGTGTGGCTCGTCGCTGCGGTGGTGGAGCGCTTTTGTCCCCAGTGGTAATCCGCTCGCTCTCAATGCCCCAAACCCTGGTATATGGTTTCGAAACAAGGCTGGATTATCACCACTTTTGGGAGTGAAAATGTCAATAATTCCCAGCAGCCTGGTCTTTTGTTCGGAGTACAGTCTTTTGTTACAGGGCCCTGTTTCCTTTGTCTGAGTTCGGAGACCCCGGCCACCCATATAAACCATACGTTTCCGATCCCGGAGTCCCCGGCAGGAAGTGGTTAATATTTGCGATAGATCAAAAATTCACTTGTCTCATTTGTATTCACACTAACATAGATGTACCCATCTTTGGATCAACGGGAACCCTTTGTTTGGATTCCTATTAATTAAGGTTTTACGACACCACACATTATCTGTAACAAATTCAAGCTAACACTAGAAGAAAATGTGTTGGTTCAGAAATATCGGTAAGTATGCAATATAAAAGAATAAGATATTCTTCACATGTTTCTAAGAAAGTTGTAGTGATAATTCTGACTTATTATGATTATATTATATTAATATTATATTTATAATACTTATTATAATTATATGAACAGTATCTAGTTCAAACCCAAATCTTATATGAAACTTTTTCAAGTTTAACTTATGACAAAAGCATGGAAGCTGGTACAAGTAGTCCGGAAAAGAGAGGCTAGTCTTTTGCATCTAGTAGAAAAACAGGCCCCATAATCATTTTAATGGACTTTGTTGCATAATTGAACAATTATAAAAACGGTATACCGATCCCACAAATAACAAGTTATAATTCTTCGCCTATTCTAAAACCCCTTTTCTTTCATTCTAAATTGTAGAATGATAAAGTCAGATTTATTGCCAAACCAGTTCACTACACCTTTGATAAACACTTCCACCACAGTGATTTCTTTTCAGATCTATGTTCAGTTGTAAGTACAGACAGCTGTGCACTTTCAAGCGTTAAAAAAAAAAAGGTTGGTTCCCTGACTCACCCAGGCCAGTATCTGTCTGACTTTGGGCTGGTCCTTCGGTCTGATCAGGAAGTAACTCTTGCGGATTCGCCAGCCGATATCTCGGAACGGCTCGACCACTTCCCAGTAGGGTTCCGACCGGAAGAACATGGACACGTGCTGCAGGGCAACCTCTGTTATTGACAAGGGAGGAAGTTGATAGGAGGAGGGGAGAGATGGAGGAAGGAATAGGTGAAAAGGTAAAAGAACATCCGTGAGTGTAATAAATAGACCGTTGGAAAATCCATGAAACACATCTGTCATTGATTTGTTGATGTATGCCATTTACTTATCACTTCTTTTTATTATTTCTTCTTATAGAGTCTCACAAGTCGACTGCCGTAACTTTGAAACATTTATTATTATTTATTTATTGTGGATGCAATAATCCAACAAGGTTCTGTGAAATGAACACTACATGTGAGAATAAAAGAGCAAGAACACTTGAACGTGATGGAAGTCTGGTATGACGTAATCAATAATAAATTCATGAAACCTCTGGCTATAAAATTATACTCACTTTTTTCCCCGTGTAAAAGATGGCCAAAATTCAAGTAACATAAGCATTTTGCCTCTTTTACATATCATACCTCATCTTAACACTTCCCCAAAAACCACCTAAAAAACTATTTGCTTGCTATTGCTTGCTATACCCTCTGCTCATCTGACTTGAATTAATTAGCTAACCTCAGCAAACTCGATAGTCAAATGGTCAAACACATCTGCACTGGTAAGCAGAAAGACATGGGTTCAGGTCCCACCTCGGTAAGCTTGTGAATTCCACTGCAAGCCCTTAGACAACACTGAGTGCACTATGATCATAAGGAATAGGGCAACCAACTCCAATCCCACCTTGTAAGTTGGTAGGGTAGTTTGTGGGATCCAGGAACCTCTTGATGATGATGCTGGTTGCTAGGAGATGGTGGGACAGGATGAGGTTGAGGTACTGCTGCAGGCTCTGCTGCCGTTCGGCGATGAACTCTCGGTCCATGTTGCCGAAGACCTTCTTGGGCGGGAGCGGCAGCTCCAGATTGGTAATCTTTAGGAGCTCATGGAGTGTGACAAAGTCACTGTACCTCCGGTTGATCTGAGAAGGTGGGGAAGATTTTGATTAGAATTAGAACACCAAAGAACACACATCAAGGTCCCAATTTCATGGATTTAATGGGATTGCTGAATCGATATTGCTTAACAAAGCAAAACTCAGCTAGGAACAAAGTCAGAAGCTCTAAGCATCATATGTACATGTATTTTTGGGTGGTTTCCTGTTTTTGCTGAACAAATACTTTTGTGCTTAGCAGATGTCAGTGCTTTGAAGCTTTGTGAGACTGGCCCCAGGATGGATCTGTGGGTTCCATCAGTGAATTTCTTATGCCTCAAAACTACTGTATATCATCTGCCCCAACTGACTAACACGGTCTAAGGTTGGGGACTCTAGAGGTGCAGTTGGGCTGTCCCAACTATACAGGTAGCACAGAGTGTCAATGTGTGTCATAGCATGTGTCAGTACGTCACAGCATGTGTCAATGTCATTTTGTTTGCATCAGCAACTTGTGCTTACCGAAACTTGTTTTTCTTTTTGTCACAGATGACATTTATATCACTGTAGAAGGATTATTTTAGAATGGAGTCTCTGCACTCCTTTTACAGGTACATGTATCATGATCAAACGGTGTATAACTGAACTTATTGTTGCAAAAAGGACATCATGATTTTCTTTGGGAAAAGATTAATCTAATAGAATCTAAAAACCACCTTTCAGTCAGTTGTGAGTAAATTTGTTGGATTTGGGTACTTAAAAATGCAAATGCTGCAACTGATATGATTGATTCTGAGACAGGGAAACAGCATAAAAGTTGGCCCACCGGTACATGTGCAGGAAAAAAGTGATCTCCCAGGGTTTCACCAAAAAATAAATGCCCTGATGATGTTAAGTGATTTGAACAGGTTCTACAGGGTCACTCACAATGGGCAGGGCAAACTCATGCACACCACTAGTGGCAACGTTTCTAGACGGGCACATTTCCTCTGGGAATCTTCGGGGTAAAGTTGGACCCCTTCTTTAATAATATGGTCAAAGTTGTGGCTTACACAGAAAATGAGCTTCAGTGACCTGGGAGCGAGTCTACACAACTCCCCACTCAGTGCACCAGGTCAGCAGTTTGTACTGCCAAACAGAGCAGAACAGATTGTCAAGGGCACGCGGCTGTTAGGAAAATTATGTCTTCAGTGTCCTGGCCTTGCACACAACACATGTGGCAGTCAGGTGCCTCCTCGTTTTCAATATTGCACACTTGTAATAATATTCAAGTTCACGTATGCATGACTTCTAGTCAAACTGTGGTCAAATGCCATGAGACCTCGTACATGTAGTACTGGTACACTGCTGTGTATTGTAATACATACAGCAATTGAAGAATGGTTTACTGAGGTGCATTTCTAAACTACAGTCAATTGTAGCCTTGTCTGAACTGGCATTGCATGTTTGAAAGTGAAACAAATTTCATGGCACTGACAGTTTGACTTTTATTTTTGTCGTAGTAACGTTCATCATTACTCTAGTGAATTCACTCCAAAATCTGCCTGAAGGATGCATGGGACTTGTGAGTCATTTCTGCAATTTCCCACTTGGCCAAAAGTGGCAACGAAACACTTTTTAAGGATTTGCTGAGTATGCAGAAGAGAGCAGTGGCTCTGGAAATTTCAAGCAATAAATTCTTTCTTTCGTTAAAAAAAATGATACTGTTATAATAATTTTTACCTGCCAGGTTTTTTCTGGAGCTATACCTCGCTGGACTTTGATCACATAATCCTGAAAAAATGTTCAAGCAAAACAGTTATATTTAAAAACACAGAGTCAGTCATTCTGTAACTTTTATCCACGAGTAAAACAATGACGACAGGATGACAAAGAAAATTAAGCACAAAAGTAATTGAACTCTGAAACTGTATACATGTATCTTGTGTACTATAATCAGGCTGACAGCGCAAAACGCTATAAAAATGGGCTCTGCAGATAAATGTATGTTAAACAAACCCCAACATCAAAGAATAACTCCCAAATCTGAATGCTGCAAAGCAAATAATCTGCATAAAGTTGATGCAACTTTGTGACCAAGTCTGAGTTTTTCAAAATTTACATGTACATCAAAACTAGCATGGAAGAGAAATTGGTATACTTTAATATTTTGTTTGGATTATTTGTGATTACAAGTGAGGGTTTTTCAAACTCTTTTTTGCCTCTCGCTAAAGCCCAGCTCTGCCATGAAAACAGGAAAATGTGAGCATTCTTACAACTTTCCTCAACTGCGTTCTCATTAATGAGAAACAACAGGGAAGCTGGATTGGTAATTACATGTCTCTCTATGATCAATTACTTCCTGATGCACACACACGACAAATCTTTCCGTGCAAATGGCACACTCTTTTTAATGAACATTACATAAACTCCTTCATGTCAGCAGCACTTGTAATAGGGAACAGGAACCAATATGTCATCAACAGACCCAAAGGAAAAAACTTTCTAATGAAAATAAAAAATGGCTCTCGGGTTCTCATGATGTACATGTAAGAGGATTTTGAAGAGGACCACAATTGTTTCTACGACTGGATGTTGTCATGAATCCTAATGGTGCCGGTGTGTGTTAAACAAAACAAAGTAGTGTGCACACACATAAACAAAACCAAAACAAAACCAGAACATAAAACCTCCCTTGCTTATATCTTATTTTTTGCATTCACAAGTTCCTCATGAGAATCCATGGCAGTAAATACCTAACCAACAGTGACAATGTACAGTGCATGTGCCATGCATACACATAAAGGTATCCTCACCAATAACGGCACTTGGTGAACCATAGGTGAATGCAGCAAATGCGAAAGTTCTGGTTTATATGTAATAACATGTAAGTTTGCAGCCAGACATGTGTTTCCCTTCCTGAGGCAATGATTTCAGGAAGAGAAATCACTACGTCAGGTCAGACACGTACATTGCAGGCCTACTGTACGTATGCAAAAACAAAATAAACTGGATTTTCTTGTAATCTACATGTACATGTAGATGGAAGATAACCACTTCAGTCACCAAGGAATGTCAAACTTGCCAGCATTATCCTGTAAAAACAACCCTTGTGTGTACACTTTAAGAATGTCAAACCCCAGAGAGGATATGACTCAAAATCATTGAAATGGTGCATTTCAAAGGGACCAGGAAACTATGGGCACTTCAAGTGCTTTTGTACACTTGAAGGCTTTGATAACAAAATTTCTACGGCCCTTCCCTTTTTTACTTTAAGTGTACAGGGAGCCAATCCTGTTACTTCCTTTCCAGGTTGTTCAATTGTGACAGTGGAAGTGTTCCTTGAACATGTTCTTTTTATTTTGGCCATGCAATGGATCTTTCCCATGAAATATGCAAATTGGATGGGCGCATGCGCGCTACTACCACTGGTTGGCAAGTGCAGCCGTCAACACTGTCGGTAGCGTAGGCGAGCTGCTAGTAACCATAACCTGGAGCGTTGACGGTCAGTTAAAACCATATGACAGCCTTTGCCCGATACTTGAGCATACTTTTCTTGAAACTAAGTGAAGTTTTCAGTGTCCTGAGGTTGGAATGTAACAGTTCTTTGTAAGTTTGGCACTCATGTCAAACTATACTAGCACAGAAACGGCGTTAGTGACGCGCGCATGGAGATTTGTATTGTTACGTCAAAGATTTAAGTACATGTAACTTTGCCAACCAGTGGTAGTAATGCGCATGCGCCTACCTTATTTGCATATTTCATGGTAAAGGTCCATTGTCACCCCAGTTTACAACTGGTTTTCATCTGCCTGTCCTTTCCCACCCAAGGTTAAAAACTGCCTGTTGTTGGACTTCTAGTATTTTTTTGCGACTGACAACCCTACGTGTAGGTGGTATTTGAAGCCATACTGGTATTTCCATTGTACCAATATTTTGGAACATTTGTTCACCAATTAATGCTAGAGATTTATGTAACATATAAAGGTTTATAATTTTGGGCCAAGCAACAACTGCCAGTCCCAAATGCCTTTTGCTTTTCCTGGACATGGGTGGATGGATGGCAAGATAAGATACAGGCTTAAGGATTTTAGACCAGTCTCATGGGGTTTCTGCGTAGGTGTCCTGATGTCCAGGGAAGTCTTTCAAATGCTAATTTGATCGTCTGTGGTAGTGACAAAGTTTGGAAATGTTTCTAAGCCCAAAATACGTACTATTTTCAATAAACACTTATATTTGCCCAATACACAAACCATGTATAAGTTTCTTACCAAAAAAAAATCGGCTTAAATATCACAACACATAAGCAACAATTTTGACACCTATCCCACCGCTGCCACCATGCCAGTGGAGGGATAAGGATTCCCTGGACACACAATAGCCAGAAAGTTGTGAAACTGCCTTGTCAGATAAATGACGAAGTTTAATGCGCAAGGGAAACCCACAAGGACTGAGTAAAACTAAAGACAAAGACTGAGGGTAAGAGGTCACCAACTCCAGAGGGTGCAATCACTACTACTGCCTGGCGTATCTACGTGGACAATTTTGGGGAGAGAGTGTGGCACTTGAGTAACATTTTACTGGCTCCATGACCAGCCTGAGCACCACAAATTTCATGTACACACACATACAATAATCATTACTCAGTTTTACACATTGCAAAGAAAAGTTACGAAACTTTCCCTGATTTTCGCCTTAAATTCCAGTCTGTTACAAATTGAAAAAATCAACCACAACAACCATATGAACCAGCAAAGTAACCAAGGCATGGATGGAAGGTGTAAACATCCTAGGCGTACTGTTAGTGTTACTATCTTGGGTGATGATTTATTATGGTAAGAGTTCTAAATATCACTCATCTTCCCTTGCAGAAAAATATTAGCCAGCAGAAAAATATCAGCCATCAGAAACAAGTCCCAAATTGCTAGAAAAAAAGTCTAATTTAGCAATGAAAATATGGAAATATTTACTCAGAAAACTTCTTAAAATTTTCAGACCAGTCACACTGGGTTTGTGCATAGGGTGTCAAGTGATGCTTTAGACCTATAAACTCTTTTCGTTTATTATTTCTTCTTTACACCCGGCCCATCTCACTTGGAAGTACGAACGGCAGTGCAAAAACTTACAAAAACTTACAATGTGTGTTTCCACGTTCTGCGCGGCTTCTATCATACACTGCAGGGGGGTGGTGTCGTCCAGCAAAACTTTGGACGACTTTCTCTTCTCAAACAGGCTCATGGCTTTCGCAGATTTTGTCCAGAATATTAGGTGGAAAAAGGCATGCGCCTCCTCCTGAGTTCAGGAACAGGCGGAACTGTTTATCTCACTTTGAAACAGCGTGAAAGACCAATTATCACTTTTTACATTATCGGCATTTGATTCCACGGACTGTCTGCATGTGATGCTGAGTACAACTGTGATTCACTAGAATCCACAATAAACAGGTGCCAGTCAGCGACGTGACTCCAAGCTAGGCTGGTGCCGGTTCCCCCTCCGTGGACTTTTCATATTGAAGTCTGATGGCGGACTCGAAAGGGGAGTTTCCAGTCGTCAGTTGTTATTCACTGGTTCCTTCTAGGAAACTTGGTAATTGTGGAAAACGAGCGGAAACCAGTCGTGAAATGTCAAAGATGGCTGCGCCCAGTGAACGCGAAACGTCTCGTTTCCTTTGACAAAACGGACGTTACAAATTCACGCATGTTTCATTGGTATGTTTGGTTAACTTTTTAAACTCATTGTGCAGATCGATCCATTGGTCATCGCTGTAACTTTCTCTCTGAATCAGTTCTTCTTTATCTTTTTTTTGTGAAACTTTTTCGTTTTAGACCAGATTACCAATTAATTTACACTTACAGACAGGTGGTAGGCCTACAGTACAGCTACAGGTTGAACGGAAGTCTTCATCAGCTCATTACATAGCGGAAATGGTAAAACGGAGTATGGTCAGGGAGTCCACCTGGACTACGGGATTTGCCATCATCATCATGGTTGTTTAAAGCTTAAAGTTAGGCCATTAGAATGAACTTCCCAGAATTCCTTCTGGAAAACTCTAAAAATCTAGTAGGCCTATGAGGATCCTGTTTTTCATGAGGCCCGTTGGTATTCACTGATAATTACATGACTGATGACAACGCATAGACTAGCTCCCAGTCCGTCTTGCATCACGCTGTGATTAATTTTTACGAACGCAATATTTTTGTCAGATTTAGGAACTCTTAATCACTTTGTGGCCATTTTTTTCCGTTTTGGGATGGTAAAAACAATGGCTTTCCTTAATTAATTAAAGTTTTGAAACAATGAACATTTTTTGGCAGCTGTTTCAGCAGTAGACCTGTGCGGGTGGTGGACAGAAATCCAGGATGTTCATTCTATGGCATTATGATATAGGACAGGCATTTGTACATGTAGCTTAGTCGGATGAGTAACTTGGACTCCACAAATTGCCTTGTTTAACTATAGTTTAACATTACCACCAGGACTGTGGGGTCCAACGTCCGCCCCGCGAACATGGTAGTGGGGCGGATGTCGGACCTTACAGTTCTGGGGGTAGTTTAACATTTGGACATGGGCAATAGTAGAGTCAATGTACCATTCATAAGCTTTTACGTCCATTAAATAATTTCGCTCAAAATATCTCGTGTATTGTCATACCCTAAATCAAAATCCTAAAAATTCACCTCTAAAACGGTCCTTATACATGAGATTCCACACAAAGAGAAAAAAGAAACAAATTCCCGTTTAAATTGTCTCCATGGGTGAGCAGACCCTGTGTTCTTTTTGTTAATGGTCCGCTAGCTCGACTGAAGCAGCGTGACATTGTTTTCAGGTATATTAGCATACAGTTTGACTTGCTAGATGAATATGGTGACTTCAAGCTTGGCCAACCAGAGTATTTTTGAGTTCCATGGGAAATTTCTCTTTTCTACTTACGTGTGTGAATTAACTTTACCACCATCATTGGAATCTCCAATTTCCACTGAATTCAAAATTGGGCACATTAAACTAGTCAAAAACTATTTGCGAGTTGAATTCTGAGGATTTTGATTTGGATACGACAACGGTGCAATGCACAAGCTATTTTGAGTGAAATCATTTAATGGAAGCAAATGCCTATGAATGGTACTTGGACTCTCACTTGACTGTGTCCAAATGTGAAAAAAGGCGGTTCGTGGAGTCCAAGTTACTCGGAATATTCGCAGCTAAAGGTATAGCTAGTTCCATGATGTATGTGATCGCTGTGCTGCCAGGCATTTACATAATCAGTTTTAATCTGTTGATGGTGGTGCCATCATTCAATCACCTTTTCTTTCTGATCTTGTTACCTCTAAGGACAGCATGTTCCATCCTGCCTCCACTTTTTCCATCATATACATGTATCTTCGCAGTAAAGGTCAGTCAATACCCCCAGTCTGAGGGTTCATCATCTACCGTGCTCCTCGTGGGAGTGTAGCGAACGACAAACCCCATAGTTCTGGAGGTAATCAATCACTGCAGAAATGCTTAAAAGACATCTGGGACTGTCAGGACTGAACAAGAATTCCAATAGGAAATACAGGAGGCCTACATGTACCTAAAGAAGTTTCTTGACTTCCCATAGACTTTGTACACAGCCACTGAAGTGGAGTCGCGATGCAGTATTCTTTTCCACTTTCCCTGTTGGTTTTTTTGCATAACAGTTCAAAGAGATTAAGTCCATGACCTCACTTGGTTTACATTTCTTGCATTTGCATTAGTAAGGTGTCAAAATCAACTGTAAATCATCTTTACTATGATGATTGCTCCAGATCTCATGATTGTGTGCATCATTGGTGATATACACAGGACTTGAGGACATCATGGCAAGTGAAACACGGCAAGATGGAAAGCCAAGTTCTAGCAGCAGAGTCTTGGCAGGAGCAGCACGGTCCGTGTCTTACAACATGATACTGCAGGTAAATCAAAAATTAATGAAATAATGGGACATTAATAATGTTCAGCATTGTTCATTTTTCGAGTGGTGTTCCACATTATTTTTTTCTAACAATTTTAATAATTTTATGTACGGGTTTTGTCTCCAACACCACATACTTTTCAGACACAATTCAACTTCAACAATGTTGAAGCAAAAACTAATCTAAGGATCTGATGTCCAGAAATTTGAAATTTGGTCAAACTTCGGTGATAGTCATTAAACTTTAAGGACACTGTTTAATTTTGGGGAAGGTTCAGGGACATTTTGGAAATGTTGTTGGAAATTTCAGATGAATATCTTAACATTTTTAAAAAGAAAATATGTGGGAGTTCTCAGTGCATTTTAATGAAACACTTACATGATTAGAACAAAGATAATTCACTTCTAATCTTTCCACAGATCATGTTTCGTGTGACCACCTTTGTTCTGAATGCTCTTATGCTGAGGTACATCTCAAAGGACATGCTGGGAGTTGTCGCTGTCAGGTATTAATCCTAATTCTTAGGCATTTTTCGGAAGAAACCCTCCTCTATCCAAGCATCTACATCCAACATTTTAACTGATCAAGACATTTCAATAATACAACCCCAACTTTTTGGAGACTTCAGCATGGAAGCTTCCTGTATCCTCCCAAATTCTCCACTGTGAAGGGAGCCAATGACACGGTCCTCCACGGCAGGGTCATCAAGACCTGTAGTGGCAGGGTTCTACCCTTCCAATCCTGCCTTGAGTCCTTCAAAATGTCCTTGTGGATTTTGAAGGTTTTGAGAAGGTGATGGAGCTCTAACTGACATTGTGCATCTATCCCTGTTTGTCCTCATCTGCGGCCGTGTCCAAAACAGGCTTCCAGAGCTATGGCTGGGTCTATTATCTGTTCATCTCTGCACATTTCCATCGGAGCGAAGCCCTAGGCCTAGCTCTAGGCAACAGATTCGGATGCAGCCCTTGCTTAGTCACATCTTGGGGTGGCACTCAACCAACTTGTCTACTCTCCGTAGGTTACAGCTCCTGTATTCCACTACTCTCTTCATAGCAGGGGAGGCGTTCCGCCGAGCTTGCCTCAGCCAAGGTCAATGCAAAGAGTGGGCCCTCACCATCAACCTGCTCTGGTGCTCGTAAGTCATCCTTTGGAATTGTCTTCGTTCCTCCCCTCCCAGCAATAACAGTGGATAGCTCTTCATAAAGGAGGGAGGGAGTTGTGGTGAAGTGTGGAAGCCACTCTTTATCGGCATTCACACCAGTATGGGTTGAAGCACCTACTAAATACACGATGAAGTTGCTAGGGTTGTTCTGTTCTGCTTAGAGTTTTAACCAGAACTTCCTAGTTTTTTTTGGCCCGGAACCTTCCTTGGTGTTATCAGCTTCATCCAACACATCTGTGCAGAGACCAATGGCACACTCCTTAGATCTTCTACAAAAATACAATAATAGTAGTTTGGCTGGAATTTCTCTAACCATGGAAATCAGTCTCCCAATGATAGACAGAGCATACTATTCAACATGTTAAGTACCCTCCAATTCTTATCAAAACCACACATTCGTGGTGCTACCGCAGACCCATTACCTTTGCTTGCCACCTTCACCATGATAAACTTAAAATCTCACATGAAAATCTTTGTAAAACCAGATGTTTAATTTTGGTGATTTTTAAGATTATCTGGGTCGAATAAGGGAATCAAGTACCTTAAGGCACACAAAGTATACATTTATTAGTACTTTTAGGTTTATTTTAAATAGCTATGTTCAAGGAACTCTTGTTAAACTTTAGGACAGTTTGCATTTCTGTTCTTTTTGTGTTTGACTTGTTTCCGTTATTTTCAATACCAGGAAATTATTTATCATTGAATTCAATAATGGTGACAATCTGAATCTGGATTATTTGACACTGCTCTAGCACAGTGCAAGCATTTTTTCATGTTTGAAATCAAATAAGGATTTTTTTCCTCCTTTCAGATTCCCCTTAGGTATCCTGTGTGGGGTCCTTCTCAGCTACGCTTGGATGGCACTCCTCGAACAGCCTGACCCAGAAACTGTTGCCAACTACCCCTTCGGGGTGTGGGTGTACGCCATCTCTGCTGTTTTGGAGCTATCGGCGCAGCCCCTTCTGGTGCTAGGCCAGGCAATGCTCTTTGTGAAACTGAAGGTGTGGACAACCTATTGTTCTTTTTGTCCTTTCTGAGGTCGTTCAAATTTGTGAAGAAAAAAGACCTTCATAGTGAGGATGCCACACTTTGTTTACATACTTCCATGCTTATGTGCTATCCTATGGTGCTTAGTGGGCCACTGATCGCCACTGGCTCCATAGGGAAGCACACATGTAAACAAAGTGTGATATTACATGTACATTGGCCTATTGACTGGAGTGGAATTTTAACTAGTGACATCCAGCCATGTTAATGCTCTACCAACTGAGCTATCCAGCCCCTTGTTTGTGATTCATCCAATTGTCAATGTCCGTGTTCACTGTTCAAGGGTACTTTTTAGAAGCCATAATCCTGTACACCAGATTGAACTTTATCATGGGGCAGCCATCTTGTTTTTCTACCATTGAAAGCAATGTTACCAAAGTGAGGCTGGAAGAAAAAAAAGTCTGTTCCATTTTACCAATATGTAAAGTTGTATTACTTATTTCATTGGGTATACAAGGGGCAACACAAAAGGGCAGCATCATGAAAAATGTCTATAGTCTAGGAATAGGCCAAACGTTAGGATGTAAGCAACATCAGTCGTGTTGCAAGCCTAGAAAGTTTGGAACTCAGATCGTCTGTATACTTATTCAAATTCATCTCAATGATGAATTAAGGGTATTTTGTTTACTTGAGATTTGAAGAAGTACTTTCCTTTAAAGGCTTAAAAGATTTTGAAAAAAGTTTTAACTTTTACTGCATTGTTAAGGTTGTCGTTGAAGGCCTTGCCATTGGTGGAAGGTCCATGCTCGTCGCAGTATTGGTGATCTTCTTTCCCCAGTGGGGGATCTATGCATTCTGCATCAGTCAGGTGAGCTGATATAGGAGAATGGCAAGTGCCCTTCTTTTTCCAGTGGGACATTTGTAAACCTGTTCAGTTTTATCAGCAAAATAATACTGTGTACTTTCTTTTAACTATAACTTTGTTTAGGATATATAAAAAAGTCATTGATATTGACTTGCTGACAATTCCATGATATTTTCGGTCATTTGTTTGATTTGCAGTTGGGCTACACAGTTATCTACGTTAGTTTATACTATACTTACTTCGTTTACTACATTCTGAAGAAAGGAAGAAGGGATGAGGACTTTCCAATGAAATCTGTTCGAGACCTATTTCCTAAGCTACATTTAAAGCAGGTCAGTACACCCCAAGCATCGTTCTGAGTTTTGAGTTGTCCCGAGTTTTACACTTTTCAAAAATGAATACTCTGTTTGAGAATATAATATATACATCGAAGGATTTCATTGTTCTTGGTGACTTTGATGTATGAATTTGTTAGTAAGAGAGCATATTATAAGATGTGAATTTTCTTTTAAAGTCGTGCATCATCAATACATACATCTCATATCCCGTGTAATGTGATTCTTAATATTTGATTTTTTCATTTTTTCCAACAGTGGATTAGCCCGGAGCAAGCTCATCTTACACTGAGTTTCTTTAAGCAGGGTTTCCTCAAACAAATTCTCACTGAAGGTATTTCAAGCGTTGCTTTATTACCTTGGAACTATTCAAAGATATATATGTACACAGCTTAAAATGTACTGAAAACATTCAAATTAAAAACAGCTTGCATCATGTTTTCCCAACATTTATAAGAACTGGATAGATGGAATCAGAGGCTCAGGCTATGGCCAAAAGTTGTGGCTTTGGCTAGAAATAGCAGGTATACCTATGGCATGCGTGTGGTTCCTGGCCACAGCCAGTTCATTCAGACATAGGCCCTGGTTTTCCCCAAAATTTAAGTTAACAAAATCTTACATTCAATTTGAGTGGAGACCTTTTCTAATCAAGTTCAAGCCACCATGTTTGTATGTTACAACGGTAAATATCAGTATTTTCAAGCAAAATATAACTGGGTTTAAAACTTTAAGAAATAAATCCATTTACAAGTGAAATGTATATTGTGCCTATGTAAAAACATATTCAAAAAATTATATTGAAAGTCAGGGAAAGGTTTCTTTTGGGTTATTTCCCTCAGTCAATGTTCTACTTGAGGTACTTGGATGTTGTTGAGTTTCCTTCTAGTGATATCCCTTGCCTGACAGTTCGCTTTACTTCTCAAGACATCATTCATCCCATTGAATTCATCCCAACTTCTCACCACATTAGATACCTGTCCTGGGACATTACCATTAAGTTGTTCACCAACTTCATTTTCAAACATCCGTTCTGCGGCATTAGCGTGCAGCGAGTGATGAGTTCAGTTTCCTGGTATCCTTTGTCAGCAAAGTGAACGTGCTTTCATTGTACGTCCATCAATGTATCCCATCACTTTTGATGACTGAAAGATCAGTCGAGTCGGGAAAAGCTCCCTTTTGGTGTCACTCGGACCGACTCCTGCCATTGTTTTGGATGAAATGGAACCTAGAAAAGCTTTCCGACTTCATAGAGTACCGAAGTGACTACGTCATGCGCGTAATTTGTGTGCAAAAGGCATTAGAGCGAGAATCAGCGCTCGAACCAACCTGCGCGCATACTCCATTTTTTGCAGTGACATCACACTTCAGTACTATATACAGGCCTACACTACACAAGACACACATAGAAACGGTTATTCTCTGGCGATGTGTAAGGAAAATATCACACAGAGTGAACTGACTTGGGTCAAACTTGGAATATCAAGGTTTTGATTCTCTCTGTTTGTGAAGGAGAACGTTACGTCATGACAGTGTTTGACATCCTCAGCTTCGGGGACCAGGGTATCTATGATGTCATCAACAATCTGGGCTCCCTAGCTGCTCGATTTATCTTCCTGCCCATTGAGGATGGCAGCTACTTGTTCTTCACTCAGACGTTGGAGAGAGGAGTTCCGTTGGAGAAGCAGTCCAAGGTATGAACAGCCTCATGTATCAGAATTTGACTTGGCTAACAAATAAAGTTAGAAGGTATCAAAGATATGGACAGCCTGGCAAGACTAAAATGAACTTCAAAAAGTAATACAGTCTCTTCAAAGTTAATCATTCAGGGATCAGTTTTTAGAAATGGTTGACGTGGAGTTGTGCTTAACTTGACAAAGATTTACGCAGTCAAAATGGGTTACCAGCTAAATTGGCATGGTTTATATTTCCTGTGGTTGGCCATCGGCCATTTTTGCTAAGCTGAACAAATTTGCCGAGCAGTTTTCCAACAAAGAACCATAATACCGACGTGGTGCTGATGCTAACATGTTTACTTCACAGGAGTCCATTACGTTGGCGTCAGACCTGCTCCAGTGTCTGCTGAAATCTGTAGTTCTCATCGGGAGCACCATCCTGGTCTTTGGCCAAGCTTACTCCTATCTGTTGCTGGATATTTATGGTGGATCACTTCTCAGCACTGGCTCAGGTGATTTCTTGCACTGTCGTGTTCTTTCAGAACTGAGTTGTTTTAAGTAAGAGGACCTGTCTCACTGGTGGCATTATGAACAGTGACAAGGGAATGCTTTTTGCATAGTTCATCTGAATAGTTTGTGGCTTGGATTGAGACTTGTAATGGATGTGTAATTGACTCAACTACGACATTTGTGAGAATCATTGAGTCATTCAGAATTCTCTCTTTATTTGAGGATTCTCATTTTATTGGTGAATTTGCAACATCACAGTGTACACACTGCCTTAGATCCGCTCCTCGGACGGCCTGTGGCAGCGGGGGGAGCGCCCTCTGTGTTCCCTCCCTGTTCAGGGCCGTTCAGCAACACTGTCCCTGTTGTGTTCCGTGAGGAGTGCTTGAGTCATTGGTGTGCGAGAGTAGAATACCTCCGCTGTGAGCCGGCAGTGCATGGTGTGCAGAGCAGACCTAACCCTCCCCTCCTACCCACCGCACCTTGGGGTGGGCCAACCCTCTCACTCTACATGTTCTGTGTAGTTGTGGAAGGGGGGAGGGGTGGGATGCCTCCAAGGCAGTCTGGTCGATTGATTACACACAATGCCAGGCTTGTGGTGGGGACATTGTCCACCATTTTTGTTTGTCACAATCGCCAAGCAGATAGATTCAGAGAGTTGTGGAGTATTGAAGTGTGACATGGCTTGTCATGCTGCTGGTTTTACACATTAACTAGTCAGCTGATGCGTCGTTTGCAAAGGCACTAGGATACGGTTAAGTGATTTTTGCACTGAATCGCTACCTTAGGAACGATGATGACGAAAGATGAAGTATCCACTTCAGCTGTGCATTTTTTTTGTCTGTAAGAAGTCTATCACCAAATAGGTCAAATGCGGGGTCTCAAGAATAGAAGTAATGGGGTGACGGATGATGGAGAATACCTTTGTCATAGTTCATGTGAATAGCCTGTGATTTGGCCTGCAATTTAATGGTGTATGATTGATTTCTGACTAAGTTTTTATTGGCTTGCGGTTGCCATGTGCATGCCTTAATTGGTTTTGCCTTGTAATTTACTGTAATAATTTGAGTCCAGTAGCTTGATAATTACAACCATTTGAGGGGTTTTGATGAGAACTTTTAGAAATTCATTTCGATGGCATCAAGGGTAGAATTAATTTCTGCTTCTTTGCACTTTGAAAAAACAATGAATTCAACAGGTCCAACATTGTTGCGGTGGTTCTGTGTGTATGTCTTACTGATTGCCGTTAATGGGACCACTGAGGCGTTTGTGTTTGCCGCTATGAGCAAAAATGATGTTGACAAGTAAGTTTTCTCTTGATGTGACTTTGAAAAGATTATTGGCAGAGAAATTTCAAGATGAGATGTTGCAGTATTTGAGATACTCTTTGATTTTACATGGTTTGTGCAGAGAGCTGAGAATGCTGTGTGTGTGTGTTGCTGTGGCTTGGAACAGTGCATGTACCTATGAAAGCCAGCAGCTAGTGGCTTCAGGCAATCCCCATAGGCTCATGTGTTATCTCTAGCCACAGCCAACTCATCTGGTCGCAGCCTTTGTATGTGTCTCTTTCCCAAAAAGAAGGGGCTACTTAAACCTATCTGCTTAGCATGGAAGAAAATAATGTTTAGGGAAACAAGGTTACCAGGAAAATTGTATAATGTATATTTCTTGTGATTGGTTCCCAGGCAGTTTTCACTTAGCTAATAAAAACTTGCTCAGTGATATTTTCTGCTTACCGGCTTCACAGAACTAAGACAAGGCTTCACAGTGTTGGGTCCAGATGTTGGTGTTCGTTGTTTGTTAACTAAAATGGTACCCTGTCTTGTCTCTGTAGGTACAATAACAAGATGCTGCTTTTTTCCATCATTTTCCTGTCATCGTCGTGGTTCCTGACTAAAACGTTTGGAAGCGTTGGTTTCATTCTGGCCAACTGCCTCAACATGACAGCCAGAATAACACATAGGTAGAGTTGTCAAAGGCTGCATCCGAATCTCTTGTCTAGAGCTAGGTCTAGGTCTTCGCTCCATTGGAAATGCGTGGAGACACGCAGACAACAGACCTAGCCGTAGCTCTGGAAGCCCCATTTCGGACACGGCCAAAGTGTCATTTGAATTTCTTTACAAGACAACCTTGTTTGCTGAATCAGCACAAACAGTTTCCAATTCTGGTTTTCACCATCTGAGTTGTTTTACATCATGAAGTGTGACAAAATGCTCTTACATCATTTCCTCTAGTTAATCCAAACTCTCTTGTATGTATAGAAACTTATGTATGGAAACTTGAGGAATATGGAGTGTCGGGTTATTATAATTTGAATATCTCTCACAATTCAGTTTTGTCTTCTGAAACAGAGTGAAATCGAAACAGATTGTGTCTAAATTACTGGTTTATTTAAGACCCCTTACTGGTTGAACAGTGCAGGGCAACAAAAGAAATGAGATTGCCTACTCCTCCCCAAAAAATAATGAATTATAAATGAAAAAGCAAACCTATTTGTTTCTATTTTCGTTGTGGCATAGCATCTACTTTACAGTCAACTACTACAGAGGCACAACATTTCAGCCTTTACAAGGTCTGTTACCGTCCACACCGGTACTTTGCACATACCTAGCATCATCGTTTATTACTTACATCTCAGAGGTGAGTCATCAGCATACAATGTTAACGAGAAGATTTCGGTGTTTTAAAGTCTCCATTTTGGAAGATGAAGTAAATTGGTAGTACAAATAGAAGTTGTTTGTGCCCATTTAAAACCGATAGAGAACTTTATGTCACCCTATGTATATAGTTTTGAGTGAGGGTTAATGTTTTAGGACCACAATAGAAAATGTAGTGTTTTTTCAAGGCTTTCATATGTTGCCTTTGCAACAACCACAATGGCAGGTATTTTACCAATGTTTGAATAATTAATTGTGGTACTTGACAGATATTTATCTTATTTTTAGATATTTCAAGGTCTTGGTCAGTCTTCCATAACAGTACTTTCAAAAGTCATCAGAAATGCTAATTAGTTATTGATATGGGCAATCCCAAATGATCGGAATTTGCTATCTTTGCCGAAATTGTCACCTACATTGAAAATTGACGAGTCAAACAAACAAAACAGTGCACCCAGTGTGAGTGTGCCCTCATTTTTTTCTGCCCTGGAGTTGTTTGGTTCCTGATAAGGGGGTTTCAAGTAAACAGTGGTGTTTCCAAGCAGGCAGGGATACCGAGTGGCCCCACAAACAAGTGTATCAACCCCTTTGTAGGGCAATCCATCTCTCCACTGTTGATATTCAAATGAATGAACAACAGACTGTCAGTCAAAGACTAGAGATCTTCCAACCAGCTTCAGTGACTGGTGGCTTTTTTCTTAGAGTTCAGTACGACTTTAGTAAACGTTGACGGTGGTTAGCAAGTTTGGACCTGAGGGTTTTTCTGTTGCGTCACCACCTTTAAATAAACATAGCAAAAAGGCCTGTTTGATTTTTGCATTTTGTTGTGAGTCCTTTGTCACTGGTGAATTATATTTTCTCTAAAGTTCACTAAACTTTTCACAAAATTCCTCTAAATCAAGTCTTTAAGTTTAAAGCAAACATGTATTATTATGACAAATTAACACCATAAAATCTTAACATTTGGTTTTAGTGTGACATTTGTTTTCAATTCTCTAACCTTTTAACTTCATGCCCTGTGTAGTGTTTGGGTTAATTCTTGTGTCTTAACCATAGTTACCTACCGTAACTCTTGTTTTGGTTTCCTGATGCCTGGTTTCTGATGCACCCACCACTCTTTAGTGTTAAGTATTTCTCCTAAGCCATTACTGTCTGTTTTTGTCACAGTTCCCCTTATCGTTTCCAATTTCAGAACAATCTCTGTTGTGATCAAGGCCTCATCTACCGACTAGCACACATAATCATTGGTGGAGTATGCTTACTGGTGGTCCTTGCTACCATTCTGCTTACAGAAAGAGAATTGATAAATTTTGTTCTGAACCAGTGGAAAGGAAGAAAGGGGACTGGAAAGGAAAAGAAGGAATCCTAAGGAATACTTTTCTGTGGACCGTTGACGGATTCAAAGTATACCTCTCTTCGTTATGCAGTGCTACTCTTTACGTCCACTGGAAGCCTAGAGAATTTAAAGCATAGCAAGTGCGTGAACTTAAAACATAATAAGCGGCTTTGTCCAAGCAAGCCTGGTTTCGTGTACCAAAGTTGTTAAAAATACCTTTTCATTTCTGTGCTACTGTAGCATCCTCAGAATGGTTTAAGTCAGTTGTTACGTAAAACCAACTGTTAAGGTGCTTGACAGCCAAGACATGCTAATGCTTTCATAGAACATGGAGATCTGGGACTAGACCAGACTTGAATAGCACCACGAGAAAGGACTTGTCCTACCACAATGATCAGTCTCATAATTTGTCTCCTTTCTTGCTCATCGATTGACCTCATTATTCAAATTATTTATGGAATGTGTCAGTTTCCATATGTTTGGGTTTAGATATTTATATCCTGTTCTTCAAGTGGTTCAGTTAATCTATTGGGTTAAGGAATACCTCTCCGTTCTTGGTTCACCCTTTAAAAAAATGGTTTTGTTATTCATTTAATTAGTCAAGTTTCAATCATTGCTGAAATTCCTTTTAGTATGGAACAAGCTGCATGTTTTGTCTCATTCTGTGTAACATTTGATGGGTCCTTTAAGACTTATGAACTTTGATTGTTTACATGTAAACAATTTTCGCATAGAGTATAATATGTGCGACAGTCCATAATTGCCGTTATCAGTAATGTCATTGTATAAGAAATTTTCTTCCCCAAAAAGAAAAGATTTCAACCGTACATGTAGGTGTAATCCATTTGTTGGCGTCAGTGCAATGCAACCAGGCCTTGGAAACATGATTTACAAGGATGTGGGAAATATTTTCAACATGGTGGTCTCGGTGTTTGTAGTCTTTTACAAGTGTTTGGAAACTAATCAAAATATATTTTATTGAAGTGGACAACCAAAAATGTTATTTATGCAAAATGGCATTTGTAATAAACCATTTTAAATGGTCACTACATTTATTTTTGTCGGTTTGATGAGTTAATTGGTGCAGTGTTAGTCTTGTACTTTTCTATTTGAACTTTGGTATCGACTTTCAAGTATAAGCTGTTTATTTCTTCAATCCCTAAGTATGCTGAAATGTTACCTACCTCTTTACAAGCAGTAGCGTCTTTGGAACAGTATCGAATACCAGGTGCAAGGCAAGCCGTGTTACATGGACAACTATTGTGGTTACCTTGTGAACTTACAACTTAAGAGCCTTCGGTAACTTAAGATGGTCCGTGCGAGAGGTTTTGCTCTAGAGTTCTGCCTTCAAAGCTGGCGGTGTGTAGGGAGTACCGTCCTATATCTGCACCGACGCTTTGATCGCGTGAATAGTATATAGTGCTTGGTAGTGTGGATTTCCTTGGACGGTAAACAGCAACAAATTTTGGCATCAAGTTTACACATGCCGGTCGCACTGGCACTAGTTCAAATCTTTGGGTTATAAAACATTTTGCTCAATCGTTGACCTCGATGTGGCCGCTCATGTTTGTGCAGTCAGATGCCTGGCACTTGACGGTTACTACTTTCTTGATTTTTTTCTCGATGATTGCTCAGTAATCAAAACAACTAACAGTTTTAAACCGTAGATATTTGGTGCAAGTGAAATTAGCTTTGGGCTTTTGCAGTTGCTGTAGGGGTACAACATATGTTTTGAGTTGTACTTCCTTGGCAATGGAAACATTTCTGCTGGAAGCAAATCAGTGGCGTAGCTGGGGAGCTGGAGGCACGCCCCCCCCCATTCCCGGTGGCCCCCCGGGTGCCCCCCCCCCCAAAAAAAACGGATGAATGACTATTGAACAAGGCCAACGAAAACTTTCCCCCAAAAAACACACTACTGAAAGCTGGTGCCCCCCATAAGATGCTGGTGCCCTTTGTAACCCCCCCCCCTCCAGTAAAATCGTAGCTACGCTACTGGAGCAAATCACAAGTTACGTATAGCTTGCACCAATGCACGAATTACATGCAGAAATGGAAGCTTGGTAGGATGACGTCACGATCCCAACCAATCAATCGAGCTATAAGATGAAATTACTTTTTCTGCGTTTAGCCCTAGGCTGAACGATTTTGCCGCGTGGATCGTCCGTGACAAATTCGGTGATCGCGGTCAGTGTAAACGGATAATCCCATAATGTTTGAATTATTCCTTTCAACCGCAGACCGTTATCCGGATTATCTCTTCCCAGTCGGCTTATAAAAGCAGTGATGTTGGTTGACATAAAATCTGAAAGTGATGGCATTTGATATTTCCCGTCCCAAGCAAAGATGGCTCTTGTTAGCATTATAGATTATACGGGCATCGGTTTATTCGAGAGTTTATACGTTGGGTGGTGACATATTACATTTGGCAGTTTGGCACACCCATGTCTGTTTTTTTATGTAGCTTTCTAAATGTCGCATCTTTGAAGAGTGGCTATGGAAGTGGGCGTCAAACTTGTCTGAACCATTGCTAAACACATCTCTCTTTTGTATTGTATTGTTTTATTTTTCTAGGCAACGGATTACTGGCCAATGAATAGCAAAAGTAATTCTCTACTTCTCGGATGCCTGGGCAAAGCAAAGAAAATGGCAATTCAATCTGTATTTGAAAAACAAAACGCAGCCTCCGTAAGTTTTGATGGATTAGGCCTAGCTATATGAAAAACATCTCATTGGTAGAAAAAAAACATTATTTGCACACCATTCATCGGCCGAATGAATCTTCGTTTTTTTCTTTCTTTTTGGATTTGGTGTGTTTATCCAACGCTCCAACAAGCTCGACACCTTTTTAGGGGAGTACAGACCAGTTACTATTGACACAGTGGCTGGGTGTCACCTGGCCCGGTCATGAAGGTTGCCGGCAATGCACTTCACGTTGCCATCACTACGAAATGACTACGGGCGCCACAAACACCCACATCTATACCGAGGAAACACTTGGTTGTGCGGCGTGGGTTGCCGTGTGCCATGGACCTCATGTATATAATGATGTTAAATTGTCAAGTTAACTACTTCGAGAGCAACTCTGTCACTCCACAGTTTCAAGTGGCATGACTGCAGACCTCTTTTCGACATGTGAGAAAATAGGACTGCCAATGAATCGCAACTTGGAGAGAAGTAAGAGATGCTCTGAAATGTTGATGTATGACACTGCTTAGTGACTCAAGTGGTCGCTTTCTGCCAGAAAAACTGAGGTAAGATTTGACATGTTTAAGGCTTCACGGTAATCAAATTTCATCTGAAATTATTATGTCATAGTTGGTAGAAATTAAAAAATAAATTCAATTTCATTTCTTAAGTGGACAAAACATTAATTCGCATCTGGAAAACTATTTTAAAACGTCTCAGTGGCGTAATGGGGGGGGGGCACGTGCCTCCAACCTATGTCCACGCCCCTGAATCCCCCCTTTGAAAGTTAGAAATGCACGCAACGTATGTGCAAACGTTGATCTACCCTTCAGTGCACCCCCCAAACAAAAACAGCGTGCACTCAGGTGACTTTCAGAAATTCCAACTCCTATTGCGCTACTGACATGTTTTTGTTCGTTACAAGCAAGACAAAAAAAAAAAAGTTAAAGCATGCATGATACACTGTACTAGAATTTGAATATTCGAAATCCCCAGAGCTCACCTGCAGAAACATCTTACAATAATTCTCCTGATTGGAAAGGTTTTGTTGTACATTCTGAATTAAAACGAATGTTGGTAAGGGCAGACCCAGAGCCATTTTTGCCGGGGGGAACAGACTTTGGGGGTGGGGTAACATTTGGAATGGTTTTAATGTAACTTTTATAGCCTTTCTTATGAGTGAGGCTATGCTTGTTACTCAGTTTTGGAAGAAAAAAAAACGACGTCGCCTTTCGCTTATTATTTTGGGAGCTCCTTCTGGTGGGGAGGGACCCCATCGATCCAACCCCAAATCCGCCCTTGATGTTGGGTGTAAGGCAGAGATGGCGCAAGTCAGCAAATTTTGGCGTTTGTGGTTGTTGAAGAAATTCCTTGCCCTTTGGGAAAAAAAGGAAAAAAGGAAGTGTTGCCACTCGAACTTGTTGCTGATCAACATCACAGTATATGGCACTTTTGTGAGGTTATTTTTCCAGACCCCAAAAACCTATAGTTTGCCATTTTTATGTTTTAGATAAATGTCGCCGATGGTTGTGTCCGATGAAATAACCTCTCACAAGAGGTACAGATGTAACTGGCCCCCCTCCTTTGTAAGAGGTATCTCCTCCGTGTGTGTTATTGGGGTCTTTAGCAGCGAAGCAAGTTCGTAGCAAGGACACAAATTCTGCATCTATCTTTTTCTCTGTTGTAACATATCATGTGGAACGTGTGCCCGATGAAATTAGTAATCAAGGAAAAAATGGTCATGTGATCGGCAACTTTTTTATCCAGTGTCATGGTTTGTTCCTATCTTCCATCATTTCTAATGGTTCGTCATATCTGACTAAATCGTGCAAGTGAAAGGTAACGGGGAAGGATGTGGCGGACCAGCAAGTTGTGCGGCCATTTCTACGCCAGTAGGCCTATATAAGCGTGGAAGTAATGCTCTGAAGTTGTTACAAAGTCCTCAAGTTGTTCTGCCTTACCTCTCTCGTTTTCACCGTTCCATATTCGTATATGCCAATGTAAGTTGATCTACTTGAAGTTTCCGTTCAAGCAAACGAATTCACCATTCATAGGCGAGTTCTCTTTGACCATTTTTCAATACCTCCTGTTTAATCAAGGGCAGCGATATGTTTACTAAAAGTCTAATCATTCTGGATTCGCGCTATCAATAGATTAACCAAACACACGGGAATTTGGCCGATAATAGTCCGAGCAAATGTTGCCTCGGTTGTACCCATGAACGAAGCTGTTTTATATCTGGGTCCTGGCCCAATTCCGTAAGTTACAAGCAATAACGTTGGCAGGGAAACACAGCCTGAACAGGAGTAAACAAAGTTCCCTTAAATCTTGATGCTGACCTGAACCTTAAAATAACAATAATACTAAAATTCAGGTCACGAATCGGTGGTATTTTATGAAATCAACACGGCCGACGGTCTCGTAGGAGCTGAGCAGGGCTGGGCTTACTAGCCCCAGTATAAGGCTGATCTGAATTATTTTCCGCTTTTAAGCGAAAAACCTAATAATTTGCAAGAAACGATTTAAGGTACAAAATGACTCCAACAATTACTTTCATAATATCTTCTACTGTTTGGTGTAAATACATTCCGTTATAAGGGGTCTCCTTAAAAAAAAATTTTGGCCATTTCCAGACGAAAGTTTATTGTACTCCAGGGATGCCTTGTGTTCCCTTAATTTTCCATTGAGAATAGACCATTACAACGTAAAGAGAAGATAAATCGGTAAACTAACAAAACGGTCATGTGATGCAAAATAAAGACGTTTGCGTTGTTTTTGATGAAACTAAATCGTTCTATAATTTCTGAGCTTTATTTCGAGACAATGTTTCAGCGGGTCAGCATGTATGTAGGCCTATCTTATGTTATAGGAGACACAGTTCTTTAAACATAGTTTCCAAGTATTTTCTGATTCCAATTATTTAAGGGATGGACAAGAACACTGTCGTTACCAATACCTTCGTTTCTGGGGGGGGTGCATGTTACTGGTAAATACATTTTTCTGTGTCTATTGAACCCAGTATCATTCCATGACATTAGCCTGTTTCCTCAGAAGGTTTATTAGAAAAGAGGTTTGCTGATAAATATCCGGTTTTTCTTCAATATAACAGTGTACAAGGCGACGATGTCCCAGTTTTTCTACCCCGCTGTGTAATGTTCGGCATTCGGTCCGTTGGATTCGGAACTTAAAGCTATCTCGAGGCACTGCAGGCTTGTCATCGTCACGGTAGCGCACCGTACATGCCGCTCACGGGTCAAATACACGCCCTACGTACTCTCGCAGGCATTACATCGCTCGTCACACCGTCCCTGGGTGTCATGATTAATGTGCATAATTCATGTGATTATTTAAACATCACGGCAGACTTACCTCCTAGGACGACATGTCTGGCGGCTCTTTGGACGAAAGTTTAAAATGTTTACACCGAGCGCTTGCATTTATTTATGACTGATCGTAAATCGCGTAACGATTTTCCAAGTGTTACAATCACAGCTGTATTGACCTTTATTCGTCGGACTTTGAGGAATATAGGCCAGTTAGTTTTGACAGTAAAATAAAGCTCTTGGCCTCACCAAAGCCCCTGGACTCCCTCCGGAGCCAGAAACTATCTTAAAAGTATCCTGAGACTGACATCTTAGTTGGGAACTGTTTGTGAGAAATTTTTAAATACGTGGCCTATTTCGAACATGCTCAAATGCGTACCAAGGGAGCAAAACTGACGAAGTTGTGGCACAGTAACCTACTTTAAAAAAAAAATAACATTAAAAATATTCGCCATGCTCAGCATTTTTTTGTGAATCATCACAAAATGCATGCTTAGGATCGGTGTTCTTTCCACTTGACCTTACTATTACTTCACTTTATTGTAACGTACAAGTTAAAATGTGTGATTCACAATTACGTAAATAGCACGGTTGTGGATAGGCCGACTTAACCTCAGCGCCCGATCAACCATAGTCGGCAAGGTATAGCCAATGTGTCCAGAGGCCTGCGAAAATTAGTGGCCTCTCATAAAAGATACAAGGCCGACCATAAACTAATAATCAATCAACCAACCAATCAGTCAGTCAGTCAGTCAATCAATCAATCAATCAATCAATCAATCAATCAATCAATCAATCAATCAATCAATCAATCGATCAATCAATCAATCTAATGCAAGCAGAATGCCGTAAGGCACACGGTTTTTGTTCTTTTGTTCTTTTAGCATTTCTCTTTGCATATTTCATTTAGGGAAAACTTAACTCGTACCAAGTAGTAGATACAATTTGCATGACTTCGCATCCAAATTAAATGTGAGGCTCCATCTGGTGCTGGTAGTTCCAGGGCGGGAGCACAGGGCCGACTGAACGTTAAGTTCACGTGGCTCTGAATTTCTTCTCCCGTTGGACCGTTTATCCAACTAATTTACACCATGGAGGATGTTCACACCAATATGTCGCCCAGGAGATCATCTGATGTAGAATTATAGAATTTTGGAACTCACTGAAATGAGTTACTTTTACTGAATGAAAAGGAATGCAACGTATGGATGGTACCCCCTGAGTGACGCTTATGTAAATGTTGCTGCACTGACAAACAGCAAGCACCTGGCCTTGGCACGACGAAATCTTTTAAGAAAGCAGCATTTTCCCTCTAATGACTCGAAGGAGGTTAAGAGGACATGCCGTAAAGAGGGAATTTGGTCTCGAGCTCAAAGGTGGGCCGAAACCCCGCCGAGAGACGACTGAGAGAGACCTTCGCTTTCCAAAGCAACGGCTACATGCATTGCGCGGCATGCACAAGGATTTATCCACTTTGAAGACGGGGCGAGGGTTCCCCTCGTTTTCTCTGTTTTCGCCGAATGACGCAATCTACATTCAGCATTCGCATCTTGGCAGGAACAGAAACAAAATTCAAGTTCGTTATAGTTGATCTCTGAAGACAAATGACACTGCGTTCGACTTGGATGCCTGTATATACACCGGTATTTATTTGAACAGAGAAAATAAGTTTTCCTCAGAGGTGCTCTTTAAACCGCAGACAAAGTTATCTGGCAGAATTCATGTGGTTCCCTTCGCGGGGGCCTGAACCAGGCCGCAACTAAGGCTAAAAGGCAAGCCAGCGACTTCAGGCGCCTTTCCACTTCGCGTACATGCGTTTCACTTTCACAAACACACCCAGTCACGTACGTTGCGTTCGGCCGTCAAAATCGTTCCGGTAGCGATTCTGACGGACTCTCAACTCTTGGAGCAAGCGTTGAGGTGCATAAGGAGAGGCGCCTTAGGACTACTGCGCTTTATCTCGGAACGGATAAAAAATTATGGATAGCTGACGGCTATGACGTATTAAAAATCAAATAACTTTTGTGGTACAAACAAATCGCTCGTATTTGGGTACGAAATTCCAAAGCAGGACAGTTTACAGACACCACATGAATACAACGACCAGATGGCGTCCACTTACTTCAACTTGAATGGCTTGATATGCGAGCAATATTTCATCTCAAAGCTAATATTTGTCGTCATGTCAAATTGATTGAATTCCCCTCATCGAGGCCAGCAAGGTGTTTCTTGATTGAAGGAAATGGATTGCTTTGACGCAATTTGAGGGTGTGATCATCAATATGGCCTTCTAGTTTGCCAGTTTCTGACCTAGGCCTACAAGGCACTGGTAAAGAGGCCTAGTTACCAGGATATCAGGCCGAGGCCACGCCTGCAGGTTCAGGCGAAGTTATACAGAGAATTTGCACGAGGAATATAATATTGTTCGCTTTTTACGCGTCCTGATCACACCTTTGAATGTTAGCAGGGGGCGAAATTGAGCATCCCTCCTCCTTTGCGCCATATTAAGTAATCAGAAATGTTGTTGTTGTGAAGGCCCCATCTTTACTTCCAATGTGCGCATCGAATGATCCATCACCGCTTACAGGTAGCTAGCCAGTGGCGTATCTACGTGGGGAATGGGAGTGGGGACCAGGGGGAACGTGCCCCCCAGAAGTCCATGCTCCATCCCCCCGATTTTGAAACCCCGAAATGGAACAAATTTACAATCCATAGTTCATTTGCACTCCTAGGTCCCCAAATTCTCATCCCAGTTAACCTTTTAACCAATTATTCAACTATTGTTCCAGTTACATAAAAAAGTTCAGAAAAATGGCAGTATAACCTGAACAGTTTTGAATGAAAATACACTGACATAAATACAGTTTACTTCTCTCCAAATATTATCGCCCTAACCCATGCATGTTTTTCATAATTTATAATGTAAAATAAGCTCGAAGGCTGATGTGCATCAACTTTGGAAAATTCATAGCTTTTACTTGTCACAGACCATGACTCAAGCAACAAGCATGACCCCAGAAACTTTACAATGTCATTTAGAATTTATTTTTGGCATGCCGTATCCAGAGCCAAAATATCTTGCAGCCATTCTGTGGTTGACTTTTTGCAGGCACCACCTGTCGTGAAATTGCCCCCAAAATAGCAAGGGCAAGATCTGGGCTTGACTGCGCAATAAATATTCTCACTTTCTGTGCCAGATAGTAACACCATGGCTCACATCTACGAGAGGGTCGTTCAGCTCATATCCCAAGACCCAACGACGAGACTGGAACGGGACATCGAGTCGCTGATCCCGTGGTTCCAGAACATGAGCGGGCTTTTTAAGTCCCAGAAGACAGGTAGGAATCGAACATCTGTAGCGAGTCAGGGCATATTATTTTGTATTTGCAGTGTGTGTGCATTGGGGAGGAGATTTTTATTTAGGGGATGGTTTTTAGTTGTTCTTGTTTGTAAACGATTTGTCATACATTGTTTCCTTATGCATCGAGCAGGTGATGTAGCCGTTTACAAACACACAGTGTTTCTGTTACAGTTTAAAGAATGTTTGCATATTGTAGCGAAACTTGACGTGATCTCACAGTGCCAGTGCGATAATTATGCGATAATGACCTTGATGTATCGTTTGAACCATGTATTTTTTTGACGTATTTATACTTAGACGTGGTCAAGGACATCGTGCGAAACTGTGAATTTCGATCCGTTCCGACAGACAACATCATCATAAAGCAAGGAGACAAGGGCGATTGGTATGTTCCAAAACAATCAGTCAATTTCAAACAAAGAAGTTAACTTTCAACAAGAAACCTTCATTGCATGGGGCCTCTTTTTGCTGCCAATTAAATTAATCAAAATGAATCCGTATATTTTCTAAAATTAGATACTTTTGCGTTGTTGTGTTGATTTTAACAGGCTAGCGTCTGCCTGGTCTGCCTGGCATGCATCAGTTTAATTTTGCAGCATTGACCAAAATGTCTGACAACGGTATTTATATGTTTTTGGGTTGACCTGATCTTTGCATGTGGTTCTTTTATTGGTCGTTTAAAAACAGTTTTGCTCTTCGGTATTACCCACACTGGTGGCTTGTTTTTCTACCATTTTTATCACAGTTTCTACATCATTCTGAGTGGTTCCGTGTCTATCTACATTAACCAAACCTTGGAGGAGCAAGGCAATATTCAGAACCCGAATGACTTAGCGAAGGCCAAGAGGAAGGCCAAAACTCGCGGGAATCGGAGCCGATCCAACAGCATCAAACCGAAGCCCGGCCTGCGCGGCCGGAGCAAAAGCCTCCACAAGCCCAGCATCGCCCTGCGGTCCTCCTCACCCCAGACGCGGTCCAAAGGTCCAGAGAAGCAGGACAGTGAAACCGGAGAGGGTCCGTCGTCACCAGGCGAATTGAAAAATGGCAGCAACGCAGGAGCGAGCGACGGTGGGCTTAGGCCACCGGGCGGGAACAAGGCGCAGCGTAACGGTTCCACGAGGGAATCACGGTCGCATACCTGGGTGTCGACGTCGACATACTCGGCGAAGGAGGCAAGCTTCTTCCAGAAGAAAGAGCATGAAGAAGATCAACTGGAGTCCAGTTCTTCAAGCGACGAGGAGATGATGAAAACGGATTCGAGTGGAAAGTTAGACAGGACAATATTCGGAGTGCACATCAGAGAACTCGGTAGGCTTGGAAGTTTTTCGTTGAAACAGTAATTAGCAGATCTCAAAGATAAATTGGTAGTGCGAAGAAAACGTAGAAGTGTTAAAATGCAAGATCGTAAACCTGGCACCATTGTAAAAAAAATATTTTGAAGAGAACTTCTCCAAGGTGTTGCGCTTATGGTAATTCATTGCTAAAAAATCTGTCTTGTAATAAAAAAGTATGAATTCAAAGAAATAGATCAGTGATCGGAAAAAAACAAAGCCGAATACGACGAAGCAAATGTACACCAAAATATGGAAACATTTTTTTTTTTCATTTTATTTCATTTACATTTGATAGCAAGAGTGTATCTCGTTTTTTTTAATCAAGACAAGGGTGCACTTTTCGTAAGAGAAAGCATAGTTTCTTTTATACTTCGTTAGCAAGGATCTTTCCTGCAGGGACTTTGATTCGTGACTTGTTTCACTTTCACATAATAACGAAGGTCCAGGCAAAAGTTTCGGTGAGTTAGCTCTGGTCCAGACCAATCTAATCCGGAGCGCATCAGTCATTGCGGACCAGCCTACGGGGTTGATCGTGGTGGACCGGGACCTGTACAACCGGTCCCTCAAGGCGGTTCAGCAGCAGGAATTCGCGGGAAAGAAGAAATTCGTCAACACCTTCCCGCTTTTCAGGTAAAAAAAAAGGTGTCCAATGGTTACAGGGTTCGGGACTCTTGATCAGGGAGTCATGCAACTTCTCTCCTCCCAGAAACACCATGGAGAACAGCTGGGAATAACCTGCAATGGACTAGCATCCGGTTTACAAAAATAGAAATATTCTGAGTCGTTTCAGGTTTCTTGGATCGGAAATAAACGCAGGTCTGATGGGTCACTTAAAAAAAATAAATAAATAAAAGAATATAACGAATGTTTACGATTCACTTTGACCTTAATTTTCATTCCCTCTTCCCTCAGTCACTGGACACCGAGGCAGAGAAATGTCATGGCCATGAGCCTGACAAGAGTCCGGTACCAGTTCGGCAACAGCATCGTGAGACAAGGGGATAAAGTCAGGGGACTCATCTTCATCACTTCCGGGCGGGCGGTGTTCTCCATAGACCCTGTCCAACACATCGAGCAATATCCGAACATGTGCAGTCAGGAGGATATCAGATATGCAAAAGAAGTCAGGTATATACGGCATTGAGCAGAAGCACCCCCTCATGGGTTGAAAAGAGCCATGTTGGTCGGGAGTTACTGGTAGCGAGTCGCCCGTAACGCGTGCATTTCATAGTCGTTTGTGAACCAGCGAAGTGCAGTTTCGACCAAAGGAGCCTTCGTTGCTAGGAGAATTGCGACTTCTCGTGGTCCTGTTCGGGGCTAATGGGCCTACAAGCAAAGCATGGTTATGGGAATTGTCTAACAAAGCCCCCAACAACAACCATTGAGACACCTTAGAGGATATCAAGTTTCAGTCCATGTCGTTAATTCATCAACTTTCATATTCTTTGCAAAGCTTTGAATACAATACTGTCAAGTATCGATACGGTAAATGTCGACACGAAGATTGAAGATGCTTTTAATGTTAAAAAAAATAAAAAGTACACGAAAATTTGACACGGAGAATTCGAAAAGGAGCAACTAAAGCCATGATTTTTCGTGAATAATTTTGGTTGTGAATCATACATTTTGTAACATGGATAGTGTCCTTTCTCTTTGGTGTATTTTTGTTAAAGAATGATTAATACAACAGTTTTTTTTCCAAAGGTTGGGAAAGAGAAGTCGGACCTCTTTCCCCGGCTCGTGCGACTACTGGTTGTCGGACCTGAGGAGACCAGGCCCCAACAATCCTCGACGCAGGGACGGCTACGCAGCGGCGGAGAAAGAGGCCAACAAGAAATCGGTGCCGCTGTGCGCTATCGGCCAATACGATTACATAGGTCTGTTTCCTTGCGCGACTCGGATGGTTGACGATCTTGAAGAACTTTATTTGAAACTGCTTTTCCCCCTTGTTCATCAACTTATGAGTAACATCTGTGATTTGTAACTTTAATAGGCAATCGAGTTTACAGCCAAAAATAATGTGCAACGAAAGTCGGGAAGTCGTTGGCTTCAACGTAAGATAATCAAATTAAGACGTTGTTTTGAGATTTCTTGAATTACATTGGCCTTAATTATTTCAGAAATACAGTATTTCAAACACCTGCAATTATTCAGTCCCAACATGATTAAAAATGGTCGCATAACCATTAGAAAGAACGTTTTCTGCTCAACGAAAAACATGTCACTAGGCCTAAATGGCTACTTTCCTTGCATTCTGGTGAACCCAGTATGAACAAAATAATTATGTCCACCTGTTGCCTCCGTAGGTGATATCTCCGTTTTACTGCACCTGCCAACATACGTCGCCACGGCAACCTGCTTGGAGCCTTTGGAGGCGCTGGAGCTAGATCTGAACAACTTTGAGCGCCAGGTCTTCAAGAAGAGCCACTCGACTTACGTGACCATGCGGGAGATTGCGGAGCTGAGACTGTGGGCGAGAGTAGATAGATTACACGAGGAACAGGTAGGCATAAGCCTGCTTGGTAATCCTAGCTTTGTCGGTACTCCTGGTCGTTAGATATTAGGAATTCAGAGCACTTACGAAAAGACATGACATAGTTTCATGAGAAAAAAATATCAGCAGCTGTCTCTCTCTTAGGTCATTTTTTTATTTAGTGTTTTCCCCCCAAGATTCAAAACTTAAAGGGTTTAAAATTGAGAGGAGGTGCCCGACAAATTGAGTACCGGTACATAAATATTTCATTGTTAGATTAATTACAAAGGTAGATAAACAGGGAATAAACCCTATCCCACATAGAGATAAGTAGGCCTACATCATATTAAAAAACAAGTCAAAAGGTCTACTTGAAACTGGAGAGAAAACAAATTACTCTGGTGGTGCATTTAACTGCTAACCAGCTTTTACTTTTCCAAAAACTGTCACGAAAATCCCACGGGACCTCGGCTGGAAATCTGTAGAAAACAGACAAAAAGTGGACTGTATACCCATACCTGCCTATAAATCTCTACGATAATGTGCTTTGATATTCTTCACTAAAATGGCATTCAACTAAATAGTAAAAAAATACTCGACAACAAGAAGACGTCAGAGGTTTTTAACATTACAAAACTTGAGAGGTGTGTGTGATCAGAAAGATTGTGCCCTTGATCAGAGCCTTATAACCTCCTCATGCAACAGCATCTACGACCACGCAGTCACCTTAAATATACCATATTATTTGCCAAGGTCTACGATCCTGTCTTCGAGACCATGCTGGGTAAACTTCAGGAGCTGAACACCTCGCCGGCCATGAAGGCGGCCTTGAGGAGGAAACAGGCCGAGGAGGAGGACCTGATGGTGTCCCTCTTCACTCCCAGCTGGCACATCTACCGGGAGAAGCAGCGACTGTTCCTCAGGAGACGCCGGAGGGAGAAGCGACTGCAGGTAGGCCCGTTTGGGTTACAAAACCCGGTGCTTTCTGACCCGTCCTCAGTTTGTTGCATGCGTTGGCTGGGTGAACTAGGTCACGTGGAAGTTCCCAGATGATGCTCTGAAAATCAACTCTACAGAATAGTTAGGCTTTTCTTATGAAGCCTGAGATGAAAAATGAAAGGCTAATGGTAATGCGAAACGTCTTTGCCATTCACAAGTTCAACATGAGTTACTTGGTCGTTGTGCAAGTTTAGGAAATATCATGGTTAAAATGACAGAAATACGGCAATACATTTATTAAAGGTAGTTTTGAAATCAAACAACTGATATCGTTACCCAACAGGAAATGAGGATGCAGCAGATGGCCCACGCAGCCAGTCTCGGTATGCAGCTAAAATTACAGGGCATGAGCACGCTCTCCGAACTCAAAACCGACGAGTCTAACCCGCCGTCCCATCGCTCACACGAGGATGCCTTGCCCGCCAGCTTGCGCGACAACGCCATCCCGTCCTACTCCCTGCAGCCCAAGGCTGTCACGCCGCAGGGCCGGCAGCGCAGCATGAGCGATCGCTACGACCATTACTACCTGCCCTCCTACTCGGGAGGCGCCCCGACCCGGGCGCCGTTGATCACCACCGACAGCTTGCCACTGATGAACGGACTGAAAGAAAGCAACGACGCCAATGGCAAAGGTGACGGTGAAGGTGAAAACGGTGACAGTGGCAGAGGGTCCCATGTCATCTGGAGAGATGACGTGAAAAGGCCCCGCTTCAAGTCCTGGAACGGACCGGTACGGCAGGACTCAGACGAAAACCACACCCTCCCCAAACTGACGGAGGAGAAATCTCCAAACGGTCAACAAAGACTAAGACCTCAACAGGCTAACAGTCTGTTACCTCTTGGAATAGGAACAACCCAATAACTGAGGTTTCAAGTAAAGATTTAAAGAAGTTGCTTTTCCGCACTTGACCGACAACCAAAAGACGTGTGATGCTGAACCAAAAAGGCCTAAATAGGCCCAAGGCTTTACCTGAGAGACCCAACAAGTAACCTGAAAATGTACTACAGGATGAAATAATCGAATAGAATTCTGTTTTGCGATCGCAAAAAATATGGTGCTTCTGCTGTAGTCATGCAGATGACTAAAATAAACTGGAACTTAGTAGTTTATTATAAGCTGTTTAATATCTCAGTTAATTAATGGCACAACGACTTGATCTCTCATAGAAATTGCTTAAGAAACAGCGCAATATAGTCCTCATTACTGATGGTACATTTTAGCAAAATTTGGGATCTGACTATTCAAATGACTTTTCCAAAGTTGAACCACGGGTCCCCACAAGGAAAACGTGTCTCCTGCTCAGGACTATGAATCTTGTGTCCTACAAAGTTCAATGTCCCTGTTGGCAACAAAAGCAGTTTACGAAATAATGCATCTACCTGTTTCAAGACTGTAAATTTACGGATGTCTGGCTTCCTGACCAGCAATGCTAGACCTAAAGACGTATTTGGGCTCATCCAATACCACCAACAGTGCCTAATACAATGTGCTTCAACTAGGAACGAGGCATAAGAAATCTGAAATAAAAGGAAACTAAATTTGCAAGCATTTGTATCCAACAAAGAAAGTGACTGAAGTGGAATTCTGAGCCTTCGGCATCTAACTTTATACAAACCAACTGGCAATCGACTGAGAAAGTCAACCGTTTTCTCGTTAAGGTTGATAAAAACTTGAATGCTCAATATTTAACATGTCACTGTACGCACTGTGTAATTTGGGTTCAGTTTTTAACACATTCAAAATGCCCCCCCTTTTTGACAGGCATTTGTTTTTGGTCTTTAGTTGTGCACAAAAAAATATATTGAGAAACATTTTGTGGGTTTTGCATTGTTTTGGAAGATCTGATTAATTCAGGAAAACCGAAAACATCTTGTAAATAAAAAAAAGATTCAGATTATGTCTCAAAAAGAAATCAGGGAATCATTCATAATTAGTCAAAAGCACACAAATAACCTGTACATCTTTATTTAAATTTATTGTTTACCTGTATGGAATTTTAATGAGAAAATTTAAGTATGCCAAGTAAACTTCCATTCTTTCAAAAAGAATATCCCAAAATGACAATATTTTTTAAATCTATCTTTTCAGCAAGCAGTGTTATGATCCAAACATTGTATATTTTCTGAGGCCTAAAAAGCCTATTAACAGGCTTTTCTTACTACTTAATAAAATGCCAAATAGCTCTGTACTCTGAGACCACACTTAGGGACTTAACTTCAATGTTGGCTTTACTGTATACTTGTGAAACAAGACCTTTAATGACGAAACACAGAAAACAAGATTTCTCCATGGATTCACTTGTTTTTTAATCAGGCTCAGAGCTAGACAGAGCAGAACTATTTAAACAGACATTCAAAAAAGGGCCTTGTGAAATAAAGGGTTTTCTGGTTTACCAGGCACAATATTCTTCTAAAAAGAAAGATGATTTGTTCTAGTAGTTGATGGTGGAACTAAAATTCCATGTGTACTGGTGCAGAAATGTGACTCTGAAAATTGCCAAATGCCCGGTGTAAAAATAATACCAGACTGGAGTACGTATCTCTATAACTCAGCGCTGGATCTGGATGCATGCTGCAAACTAACTCCCGGATGGGATAACAAGGCCATAAAGATTGAATCGCAAAAATCCCCCAAAACTATATCACTTACCAAGAGGGAACTTAGGAAAAAATCTCAGAGATGTAAACTACCGATAAAGATGGGTGTGATGATTGATGCTATTAATGTTACAAGGCATCACAGCTGCTTGACTGTGATCCAAATATTTATGAATAGACAAAGGCATTATTTGCCAGTGGTCTCCTCAAATTATAGGCAGCTGGGATCGCAGGAGCTGCTATCGCACAGCTATCTTTTCAGGGCAGCTGCTTTCCGTTCAGTGACATTATACCCAGATCGTATAATATATTCAACGATAAGTTACTTTTTAAAAATAATATATTTGAAGAAAAGAAAAAACACGATGTATGAAAGCAAATAGCCAAAAGCAGCTTCTGCAGCTGATTTAAATAAAAACTTACAGACTGCTTACAAAAATGCTTCCATGAACACAAGTTGCACATGGGCTTCCAACACGCAACTTCCATTTTTCCTTGACGACTACAATCGTCTCAGTTGCCTGATTTATGGTGGGAGACATTTACTGCTTTTGGATCAAAGCTTCAATTTCACAAAACTTTCTTTTCTCCCAGATCAGGGACCGAGCCAGTTGACAGCCGGATTGTTACGGAGTGACAGCCGAGCTCTTTTGGGGTTAAAGTATGCACCGTTATTTCTGCCATGGTTAGTACTGCATTTCTGCTCGGACGCAGCACCATGACACCGAGCCCTCGTGATCCACCTCGAAAGAGAGAGACCTATGTGGACGCTGCTCCACAGTGTCGGATGCAGCCTGCTGAGTTCTCACTTCTTGGCCACGGCTGCCTGTGCTGCTTTCTTTGCTTTCACCATTTCCACCAGCTCCTGAAAGGCAGAAGTGAAACCAATTCACGAGTGTTCTGTTACGACCAACGAATGAAAGTTAACTTTCAGACTATTCCCGCTTATAGTGTTAGTTTCAAGGAATTGACTGAATTTGTACTTTTTGTTAAACCACGTTTCCAGTATTCAGTGGCTAAACTATTTGACTTCTGTGCTGCTTTGATGTCACCATTGATAATGTTCAATTTACAATCCAGGTAGAGATGGGAGACTAATTTTCAAATGCAACATACAGAACCTAACAGCATCTGCACTTGAGAAAAAAAAATGCGATTAAGGTAGGGCTCACAACAAAAATAGCACACAGGTGTCCTGCAAACTTAGACTCTCCGACATTTTCACCCTGAAGGGTTGACGCGCCACAGTGCCCGGGTGTTCGCTGAGTAATGAGTAAGATGGATGGACCCAGTACATTTCCTCTGGTACCTTGTATCTGAGCATGCATTCCTTCTTGCTGCGCCCAGGCACCGCCTCCGCGATGCGGTCCCATCTCTCCTTGGTGTTGGCGGGGTACGTCTTCAGCGCTTGCTCCAGCCTCTTCTGCTCGTCGGTGCTCCATGGCTTCGGACCTTCCGCTGTCTCAGGAGACTTCTTCTCCTCCACAGCGTCTGCTTAAAGAACAAAAGAAACTGACAACAGTGAGATTCGAACCCACGGCCCCTTGTTTACAGTGCCAGAGCTCTACCGACTAAGCCACTCGGCCCTTTGTTTGCAGTTTTCCTCCATGGGATATGATGAATGAACGACAACGGATGACAGTACTCTACCGCCTGAGTTTATATCTGGCCCTATTGTTGATGTTTCACTTCCAAGCTGTCCAAGAGTAAATAAAGCAATTTGACAAGAGGAGGATTTGAACCTCTGATCACAAGTTTACAGTGGCGGTGATTTACTGATCTTTCAAGTCCTGTGCTTGTTGCTCACTATGGGGATTATGAGCATACATGGCAAACTGACTAAAGTGGAATTCGAACCTCTGACACCTAGATTACAGTGCCAGTGCTCTGCCAATTAAGCAGCCCAATGTTTGTGGTTCCCCTCAACCCAAAAGACAGGTATCTAAAATCCATTTTGCTTATTAGGTGAACCATAAATTTAAAGAAAAGTTTAAGAAAAAAAAATGTTGAAACAATTTAATGAATTTTGGCAATTTCAAAGTACCTGTTTACTGCACGAGAATTCATCATTAGCCCAGACCTTCCCACATCCATTAAAATCCATTAGGCTATTTGGAGGACTTCTGGACAGATGCCACAGCTCACTGTTACTTCACTTGATTCCCCTTTAAGATCAAGGTATCCTACAGAATTCTCGAGGACGCAGGAACCCAGAAACAGCTTTGTGGACAAACTTACCGGTGTCGAGCCGTTCCGATGGGGCCGACAAATCCTGCTTCTTGGCTTTGCTCTTGGTCTGCTCAAACTTGTCAAAGGCTCTCTTGTTGACTTCCTCTTTCTGTGCGCTATCTGTTGGGACCAAATAAAACGTGCATTCAATAAAATCATTTCAATTCCTTTTATTGGTATTCATCAGTCATAAAATCCTTCAAATAAAAAAAAAGGACATTTTAGTATTAAGTGACCAGGTTATTTTTGTGTCCTTAAACTTTTTCAATAAATTTGACAGCAGAAACTGTCTATATCTATTTTGTCAATTAGAATAAAGGATAGATTTCTGCTTTTCATCTTAAACTTTATTCATTTTGATGATTAAAATTGATGAGCATGTCCCACAATTCAAACAGCCAATCAACGATGGACAAAAGGAACTCACCCAGTTTTTGTAGGTTCTTGGTTTTGTTAATGACATCTTTTGCCGTCTTCTTGTGTTCGGAAGTGGAATGCTGGTTGATAAAGTTGGCAATTACTTCGTATCTGTATCAACACAAGTGATGACAAATCTTACAACCGTTCCCCGATTAGAAGCAGAAAACATTAATGGTAAATAGCTGAAAATACATACTACACATATTTATTATTATGTGAATAAAATACATAACTGTGACCTTCGCAGTAGCCTTGAATCAACTCGATGACGGCTTCTTCACCCACCATTAAGGACAACACACTACTTTTCACATTCTGGTCTGTTGATTTTACCCATCTTCGCTGCAGTTAAATGGCCCAACCAACATCAAGAGACACTGTGATCACTGGTGCGTGAAATGAAGGAAACACCTGGTAAACCTTTTCCCCACAAATCAGGTAAAAACTGGAGAGTTGATCCGTTTTTGGAGCACAAAGTTTCAGAGTAACTTATTGGTGCATTTTCATTCACTTTCTGTGTAATTCTGACGGCCGGCAGGAACGTTGGCAATTCGCAAGACAAGGTTGAACTTTGGGTGACCACCTCTGACCTTGACACGGTGCCGGCAGGGAACAACTTGACGGCCTTGACCAGCAGCTGGATCTCCTCCTCACTCCAGTTCTTCCCCGCCCCTCCCGAGCCCCCACCCCCTCCTTTGCCGGACTGGGCCTCTTGCAGCTTCCTCAGGTCCTCTTGCCTCTCTCTCTCCATCTCGGCGTGCATGTCGGACACCTTTCGGGGGGAAACCATACGTAGTTACTGAATCAGGGAAACATCCAAAATCAAACTGGGGATTCAAGGAGGGGAACTCTACAAGTTTCACAGGTTTATGATTTGAATCGGTTTCCTGATGACAGACAGAGTGTGCTGTCCGAAAGTCGAGCTATCGCACTAGTCTTTATGGAAACCCGCTCGCTGCACAAAGATAATGGTTCTAACGCAAACATGACCTTCTTTCACAGGTTTCCAAACCACACTTGGTCAAATGCCCCCCCCCCGGTCTCTACCCAAGATACACAAGAAATTGAGAAAGCAACATCAAACACTTTCAAGTTCCCCTACAACAGAAAAAAAAAGAAACAACACTAGTTAAATGGTGTTCAGCTGAGTTTTTAAACAATGTTAGGTAGATAAGCCTTCAAAATGTGTTCAATTTTTCAACCCCCTCCCTAAAAAATTAAATAAGACAGAAAAAGACAAAATGGAAGGTTAACCACTACCTGCCGGGAGGATTTCTCTTGAGCGGGATGTGATGGTGGGACCTTTTCAAGATTTTCGGTTTTCAAAATTCTTCAAAAATTCACGTGTTCATTTACTGGACGTTTACACCCACACAAACGACTCTCTGGTGGCTACTCTATTCTGTCAGGCAACCTTCATTGATGCCCGAAAGAGAGCCCAGAATTGTGTGGTGTTGCATAATTTCCTTTGTTCCGGTGAATGCCAGTAGCGTCTTTTCACACCCAGCTGGATAAGTGAGCAGCGGCACTGTGTCACTCATCAATGGGGCCCTGGAGCACTTTTGTCTGCAGTGCTAATCCGTGGGCGCGCTAGGTCCAAAACAGTCGTATACTGTTACAAAACAGTGCCGGATTACCTTCAAAAACTGGAAGGCGAAAAATGATGGAAATTCCCAGCAACAGGTTCTTTGTTCCGAGTACAGTCTTTTGTTACACAGACCAGCTCTTTTGTCCGAAACCGGGCAGCCGGCTCTGCGTATAAACACACAGTGCCCGAAACTGGGCTCCCCGGCAGGAAGTGGTTAAAGGAAAAAAAAAACCAGGGGTAATCTATGGCCCAACAATGTCTTGCATCATTAATTTATCATGGCACCTTTGTATGGTTCCAAGACTTGTAAGTTTGCCGAATGAAGGTGAAATGGCTCTAAAGTACAAGACGTCTTGTGATTTGCTTTACCTGTTTGGAGAAGATTTCGGCGGCAGCTGTTTGGTCTGCCTTGGAAAGGGATTCGTTTAGAGTCTGCAGGCTGAAAACAAAACAACAAAGAAAATAGTGAATAGTAATGAGGATGACAAATTGTTTATAAACTCGTGTTGCGGTCAGGTAGATTAGACGAGAGGAAAGATCTATACAGAAATGAAGCACTGATATTGCAAAAATATTGGCAAATTAACCGTGCCTGACCTTAATTCTAAAACTCTCACATCCTTGGGGGTGGGGTTAAACTGCAAAGCAAAATGAAGCAAACTGGGGGAGAACGAAGAGATCCGTGAAAATCTCTCAGGAAATTAGGGACGATTGGTCGGATTGGGAAAGATCACGCCAGCTACTGGTACTTTATAATGGAACCTCAGCACCCAAGTACAATGCACGGAAATTGGCTTGCACCGTGTGAATTTGACAGCATTTGAGAAGGCGTGAAGGTAACAATGCCAATAACAGGGTGTCCGTTTTCTTAGGAATATTTTGAGAGTGTAAATAAGGGTTCCTTACTTGACTGCCGACAGTCTATCACACAGCATCTCTACGTCCGCCATGTGTTTGACTCTGTCTGCTTCTGAATCTGTAAAGTAATTGTCTTTCTGACAACCGAGCAAAGACACAAAGGACAAGGTCTTGGTGAAGTAAAGTTTGCTGTTGACATATTCTGAGAAATACCCACAGATCTAGGGCTGAGTCGATTCGAATAATTCACTATTTGAATATTCGACCTTCAATTCGATTGATTATCCGAATATTCGGTCGTACCGATCTGCAGATTGTTGATGAGCAAACCATGTACAAAATCAGTTGCACACAATCAGTGTAATAGCTTCTTACGTCTAGGAGTATCTTCAGCCACGAATCGGCAAGATTTAAGAGATGAACAATACTTCTTGCCCTGCTGAAAATTTCTATTCCTTTCAAATTGTTTAGGTTTTGAATCGTTGTAAGATTTCTGTCACTTTCATTTGACTCTGCTTGAAACAAGCCTCCAGTGTGCAAGTTTTCTCATTTATAACAAAAGAAAGTTTTCCCTTCCTTTTCATGAATTTTGCATTTGAATATTCTAATTCGGAAAATAATATTCTGACATTCGACAATCAATCGAATATTCGGTTATTTGGCAGAGTTCTACATAGATCTCAGGAAACAACAACGTGAGTTCATAAAGCAGCGCTCTCTCATGGTCTGTTTTTATTCTAAACATTTTCGCAGAGTCTCCTGTGCACCTACATTAATGCTTTGACAGACAGTACACTCACAATCTTTCACAAAAATTACTTTCTAGGGTTCGGTGAAAACATCAACACCAAAACTCTCACACATGAAAGTTAAGTTTGAACTATTTGGTGGCACTCCTATTTACAGCATTCTGAGGAGACTACCTTCTCAGCGGATGAAAAATTTTTGAAATTTGGAAAATATAATTAAACGTCTCTACGCTGGGTACTGAAGAAATGTAAGCCTTCTGCCAATGTCTTTGGCAACCAAAGTGTTTAGTCTGTGCCAAGTAATGGCTGTCCTTACCTTGCATATATCCCTGAGCATTTTACGCTCTTTCTTGAGGACTTTCTTGGCAGCGTCTCTCTCCTTCTTGGCTGCCTGGGCCTGCGTTGCAAAGACAAATCAGGGCACGTCACAACCAGCTCACTGCTCACTTTGTCTAAATTTACCAGTATCTGCTCAGGTTGTTGATAAAGTGACGAGAGAGGTACGCTAAAGGAAATGATGGGTTCCGCACCTTGGCCTTGGCTTCTTCTTCCTCTTTCTCCTTGGCCAGTCGCTCCGCCTCCAGTGCCTCCCGTCTCTCTCGCTCCTTCTCCATCTGGGCAGCCTTAGCGGCCTCCTGCTTGGCTTTCTTCTCTGCTGCTTTCTTCTCTTTCTCCTCTTCCTTGAAGCGTTTGATCCTGGGGTCGCAGGCGTAGGCATTATCTGCAAGGTGCGACGAGGGAAAAAAAAGGCACCCGATGAACCTTCACAAAGGCATCCATTTACTCAGTGAACTGCTTTGCCAATTATGTTGTAGAACTTGGCATTTTGCAATTTGACAAATCTAATAGTCATACTTTCAACTGTTGCAATGTTTGACAGCAGTGTGACTCTCCATTTTTGAAAAGCATAACTTTGACCTTAAACATCAAAGCACTGAATATAATTAGATACTAGAAATTGGGTCTGATGAGCTCAATCGATTGAGAATGATCATTTTTCAGACTAATTAAGCTTAGGCATGAATTTCGACCACTCACAAAAAAGCCCTGCCGCTCAACACTGGAAAGTTGTACTAAAGCATCAGCACAGATGTGAGGACACAAAATCTAGCTGCTATGCTCTGTAAAAATATCAACTTTTACAGAATATCTAATCTAGTCGGCCTAGTTCTCAAGTACATATGCTTGTGTGTGAAATACACAGCCTACTTGTGTACTGTTAAATATTCGGACAAAGGTGACCTTCTGTCCATGGTCACAGGGCAAACAAAATGCTGCCTTTTATCTGAATTTATATCGGACAGCATCAGAAAATTATAGCAGAAATTGGAAATAGTCTGCACGTGTGGAGGGGTCATATTTGGCTGAGGGTTGAAGCCACTTCCTATAGATATGCATCCTACTCCTAGCCACAGCCAGTTAATTTGGCACACTGCCCCCGAGGGACTTATGCAGTGTGTGGACAACGATCAGTTCAGAATCTCTGCCCATGAATGACAACAGCAGGCCCCACCCACCAACAAGCTGTCGCATTCTCGTAGTTTCCTCCTTCTTTCTGCTCTGCCTGGATGTCTTGTTCTGCCTCTCGATCCATCGTCTCTCCTCCCGGTTCTCGCCTTTCTCCTTCTCTTCCTCGTCCAGGTAGGAGAATTCCCTCCAGGAGTCAAAATCGTACCTGTCAAGGCACAAGACGTAAGTGCACAAAAGGTGCAATTAATGATTAAGCACCTTTGAGCAATGTTGTCCCAGAATATATGCACAGATGACGAATGGTGTATTCGATTTTACCATCAGCAGGACAGGGCTGAATTATACAAAAGGCCATGAAAAGTTGGAGGGCCTAAAAATATAATGGTGTGGCATAATTAGCCAACATCTTTTTTCCCCAACAATTTAGTAAAGTACATCTGAGTATCAACGTGACATGTGAGGCTCAAGCGCTTACCAGTGCTATGAAAGTTATGTTTGTACTAGCACTAGTGCCTGGGGCCTATGGAGCTCTAGTACCTGGGGCCTATGGAGCACTGGTACAGATGGCCTACACAGTACTGGTACCTGGGGCCTATGGAGCTCTAGTACCTGGGGCCTATGGAGCACTGGTACCGATGGCCTACACAGTACTGTTACCTGGGGCCTATGGAACTCTATTACCTGGGGCCTATGGAGCACTGTTACCTACGGCTTACACAGTACTAGTACCTGGGGCCTATGGAGCACTGGGACCTACAGAGCACTAGTACCTGGGGCCTCCAGAGTACTTAACCCAGCTTAGTAGTAGGGACCAGGTCTTGGCTCATATTCAAAACCATTTTCAACTGTTTACCATCATTTCTGGCAAGTTCTCAGAAGCACTCACCAAAAATGGTAGAATTTATTGACTTCTTCAAGCGTGGAGTTTGCATCTCCTAGCTGTGGCACTCTTTTCTTTTTGGACCACCTGCAGGACGGCAGAAACAAAGTAAAAAATAAAAATAAACTAAATCAATGAGGTTTTCAATAAATATGCCAGCTGCAAAACTCAAGGGGAAGGATTTAGGGGAAAAAATAAATAAACCAAAACAAAGTATAATCTTGAATCAGCTTTGATATTGTCACACCTAGAATTACACAATCAGATGTACAGGAAACAAATGGAAATCTGAAGGGAAAATGGACAGTGTTTTCCAGATTTGGAGCTTCAAAATTACCTACCTTGCATTTCTTTCAAAGACCTTACTGAACTCCTTAAAGAAGTTTTCACGTGAGTTGTTGTTGAGAGGAGGGACGCTGTCATCAAAATTAGGATCGACGCTGTCGTATGACCTTCTCTTGGTTCTGTTTCCAAGAATTTCATATGCTGATATTGAATAAAGAAAACCAAAAATATACAGATCTTTTAATATTTTTTCTAGATGGGTCCAAAAGCCCAAGGAATTTAAGGAATTTTTTTCCTGTGGCTGTTTTGTTTACAAATCAAAATTTTATCCGGCATGGAAACCTCTGGCTACCTTTAAGGTTCTGCCTCTACATACCTCCAGGCCTGCTGTTTAGTCAGGAATTCAACACATACAAACAAATCCAAACCTAGTTTTGATTTTACTGGAGAAGGGATGTAACTGGTGAACCAGTAAGTTGAGGAACAATAAGGTTTGTGGAAAGTATGAATAAAAACTTTTGTAAGAGGTGACCAGAATGATGCTGGATAGAAAAGTGTTTTGAAACAGCAAGAGAACGGATAAGGCAGAAGGAGAGGGGTTGTTGCAGAATGGCGACGGGAACGGAAAAGAACGCGGCTAACAAGATTAAAAAGAGTTGTTACTCTCACCTCTAGTAATGCAAGTAAAGTAGTCGTCATCTCCTGATTGTCTGGGCTTGGTCACTCCATCTTTGGGTTTCCTCTTGTCAGGATGATGCTTCAGGACCATCCGTTTATCTGTCGTGGCAGAAGAAATGCGATAATCTTAGACACTGGCATATTTTCATGATATCACCGCCGGACGCTTGAACTATCAGGCTTCCTGAATGTGTCAAGCTGTGAGTGACGACGTTGTCCAGCCCTTGCTGGGCCTATGAGGCCAAGGTCACTCTTTGAAGCAGCTTTTCGTGAGGTCTTTCCACTTGTAAAGCTGCCCAGTGAAGTCTTCTCATAGGCACCCCTTGGTTCATTTTGGCTCAACTTGAAAAGTCAGCGGTGTCCAAATTAGTTGGCTATGGCTTGAAACTGCACATGACTCTATGGTAAGTGGCTACAGACACTACTACAGACTTGTGCATAAGTTCAAGTCACAGCCAAGTAAACTAGGATACGGCCTAACTCTTATGTCACTCAGTAGAGTGACAGAGGTAAACCGTTTGGGCGGGTCAGGGTTTTAGTGAAACAACTTACAAGCTCTTTTGATGTCGTCGGCAGTAGCCTCATGTCTGACTTTGGACAATCCCAGGACTGCATAGTGGTCTTGATTCTGTTGATTATGCAAAATTGTGTTACAATAGCTAAAAATGACAAAGTGGCAAAGACGGAACTTTTTTTTACACTGCCATCATGACCTTACATCCTTCAAATTTTCCATCATTCTGAAACTTTTTAATACATTGACCACTGAATTCTTCTTCTTGGACAAAGTTTTTAATCATATCATCAAGTCATCAATTCAATCACGAACCGATTACAGGGCATGCTTGAGTGATTCAAATGAACTGCAGCAACAACCCCTGGTTTGACTCATGATAACTTGTGGTAACACCTGTGATTGACTTATGATCGCTTATTACTTGACTTGTGGTTGACTTTTCACTGACATGTAATTGGCTTATGATTGCTGGTGATTAAACTTGTGACTGACTTATGGTTGCTTGAGAATAAACTGTATATGCTTTATGGTTGACTTCTAATTGACTTACACTGGACTGGTGATGTATTTATGACTCGTTTGGAATAGAATTATAATTGATCAGTCATTGACATTACAGTTTCGCTTAGACAGGCAGTTGTAAAATGTGGCTGAGAATACCAGACCTTCCATTCTTTAGGGTCAAGGGTCAGCAACATGGAGTCGTCCTCGTCATACTCCAAGTCATCATCAGAGCTATCGGAGGAGGAGTCAGACCTGAGAGAGCCAGAGGTGTGGGAGAGGTTGTGGTGATGGTGGCGTCTGTGAAGATGGGCTTCGAACCACCGTCCAACTGGCTCAACTCTGACGGTAACTGCACCTACAGGAGACAAGTGAAGAAATATACTTCAAAACTATCGGACGAGCTGTTCCCACCACACAGTAGAGCCTTATGGTGCTCACACCTTATGCTTCTGATTATCTTTGTAGTATTTGTAACGGAGGAAGCATTATCTGAACATGACTTACTTTCCCTTGCAGTACGGTAGTTTGCAAGCCATTGGAAATTTATTTATTTATTTTTAATATTTATTTATTTATTTTTAATATTTATTTGTTGTTTACTTTGTGTTTATTCGGGCCTATGATTCCTTCCTATAGTGATACCATTACTCTAGCTTTCTTCCCATCCCTTTAACCACCCTTTTGGGCCCTCACAACTCCACTCTTCAACTTTGACTACTGTTTCCTTTGATCTTTGCCTTCTCTGGTCTCCCCAGTATTTATCCCTTGTGGTTTATCCCCCTTGCCTCCATTCTTTGTTCCCACACCCCATGTTCCATGTACATGTGCTGTTCATCCTTTTGCCCTTCCCCTCCTTCCCTCTCTATCGCCCCCATGCCCTTCCTTTTGTGTTTCTCTATGGAGTCCTGTTTGTCGGTACATGCATACCCCAATTTTCTTCAGCCCTGTACTGGTGTTTTAAGACTTTGCCAAGTTTAGGATATGTGTTAATTTTTATTATTTTTAGGGCTATTTGTATAATTTATTTATTTGTACATAATTTAATTCAGAGATTTTATCTGTTTCTCATTAATGCCTGTAAGTGGCAGGTAACCACTGTTGGTCATCAGAAATAAATAAATAAATAAATAACTAACATTGCCCCCAAAAGTCAAGTTTAGCATGGAAAGCATTGAAGCGTTTACTAAGAAAACACAGAATCTTTCAGATCATCAGTCTAATGGGGTTTGTGCACAGGGTGTCAAGTGATGTCCATGAATGGAAGTCCTTCAGAAGTGAGTAAACAAAAGCTTAGGCTGGTTTATAAAACTGTAACTGAAAATATTTCCAAATTATCAAGCAAAAACATTGTTGAAGTTAACAACAGAACCAATTAGAACAGGGAACAATATACCTACAAAGAATTTCTAAGAGGTCCGCATCAAAGAAATAGGAAATCTGAAGACAAGTCCACTTAAAAGTGACAACATACTAGGCCTACCAATGTTACCGACATGTTAAAAAAAAATACACACATACATGTGTTATGCCCTAACTACAGCATCAGTCCCAACTATAGTTGGGCCCGTCCCAACTAGAGTGCTAAAGTGGCCCAACTATAGCACAGAGGTCCAATGTGCACGTGCCCAGCATGTGCCAAATTCATGTCATGTCATACATGAAGTGCCATATTTTAGATGAATTATGTCAAGTGTGAGATGCATAAACTTGGATAAGGTTGTGAAATTTTCCACAGAAATTGGTCAACAACTGGGCCAGCCCAACTGCAGCACTGCAGTTGGGACTGTCCCAACTACATCCTGTAGTTGGGACAGATGCTTTGGGTGTATTCTCCAAACAAGTGAGTAGGTCTACACTACAGGAAAACTTTCACAAGGACATGAAGATTGAAGTTATCCAACAGGATCAGACATCTGAACTCACAAGTTGGCCCATTCCCGCCAAACTCCTCCTCCACTCCCTAATGTCCCCCGCCCACTCTCATCATGAACAATCTGATCAACATTTCTGTCATGTCAGTGCAAAAGCAGTAGGTACATGCATGTACCACCGACCTGCCGACTGCGCCACAAAACTCAGAACCGTTCACTGGAGCAGTACTAGACTGCGCACCGGCACCACTAATCGCGAAATCGCTGAGCAAGCAAGGCTTGTAACTGCAATTAATGGTTCCCGTTCACTTACCTGACAAAGTACCAAACACCTTTGTTTTAACACCATTGGGTGCACATGGGGGCATGGAAGTTACACCTGTCATTTTTACAGTTTGCGCACTTTATTTGTGACATTAATCATTTAATGTAACAAAGTGATGAGCCCACCGAGCTCTGCGTAACTGGCACCCCATGCGTTATCTAGCGCCCTCTGTTGAAATGTTCTCGATTTTCTGAGCAGTCTTGTTCCCAGACCCAATTAATTCCTCTAACATCCTACAAAACTCCAACAACCAGACTGTTCAATAATGCCATGGCTACACCCGTAAACCGTGTAGGGCCTGATTGATTAGTTTACCCAAAAATATGACAATAATAAAACGCAGCATTATTATACAAGCAGGACAAGGGCTGAACTGTAGAACTTTTTGTGCTAACTCAAGGGTAAGTATACTGTTCTTTACAGTTTGCATATTAAGTTCATTTTGGCTTCTTACATGAAAAGTATTTTCTCCTTTATTGAACTAAAAATTATTTAGGCCTAGTAGAGAGGTTTGTCAGCATCTTCTCGAAAGTTATACACGTTGGCTTTTTTATAGGCCTAGCTCCACTTGAGCCTAGGTCAAAAAGTTGGCGGACCGCGAGAGATGCTGTTATAATGTCCGCACGGTAGGCCCTGCCAGATTTTTTGGTATGGTTTTGTTAGGTCATTTGATTTCTTTGCTGTAAAGTCTAATGCAGCCATTTGATTTTGAAAGAATGTTGTTTCCTTCCATTTCTTGTCATTTTCAATGTAGCCTGATAAAAGTTTATTGCGGGGGAAAAAAGGACAAGACGTAGGCCCAGGCCTATTGGAAAGAAGTCTAGTTAGTTATGGACAACTTCTGGGGACATGATGAAGATTTCAGAATTGCAAGTGTTTTCCAGTCTTGGAGCCACGCCTTATCACTATTTTCAACAAAATGCTTTCAGCAGGCCTGGGCCTACTTCAAAATGTTTGTTTTCATCAGTTCACATGTCACTTCCAAATATCACATCCATCCCTTATCAAGATTAAAACCAACTTGACGCAAACGGTACAGGGTGAAAAAATAAGCAACGTCAACAACCATTCTCAACATCATTTTCAGAACTCGTAGTTCAGCATCTGCTATTTTTTTGGCTGCAGAAGAACACTTCTTTTCTTGGTCGTTAGGCCTAGGCCTACTCACTTTTTGCTTTAATTTTCAACAGATTGCTTTCTTGTCTGGAGTTATTTTTCCTGTTTTGAGAGACTGCTCCTGGTAGTGATACCCTATGTAAAGTCCAGTAATTTTGGATCGATGTCCCAAATCAGAAGCTGAGCTGGCATATACCAGGCCTTTTTCTCTGGGTCTTGAGTACCGGGTACTGTGAATAACAAGAACTTGAAGAATTCTTTACTATGCTCCAACCAGGTGTAGCGTAAATCTCGACCCATGGTAACAGTGACCAGACACAGACACCCTGATATGGCTGTGAGCAAGACCAAACGCTGGATGAATTTATGAAAAAAAGGCCAGTTGACGATGGCTTTGCCAGATCCAAACAAGCAGACTTTCCCCTTCATTCAGAACCCTACGCAATTCCTGGCCAGTCCCAACTGCCCCACGCCAACAAAGACAAACGATTCTAGTGCCGTGTCCTTGAAGCACTCGGCCATCCAACTACCAGCCTTGGTTCATTCGGGCGAAGGTGATAGCAGCAAAGAAGTTGCACAGCAACATACCACAACGGTATCCCTGCCAAAGGTGAGAACTTGAATACATAGTCCACCCCTGTTAACTTTTATGAGATGTTCTCCACGGTATTGTTTCTGCCTGCAGGGCATGTGACCTTGTTTTGCATAATCCGTCACACTTTGCAATGAAAGTGTCTTAAGTACAGAAATTAACAGGACCATTGGTCAATTCAAAGATATCACTCATTCATACCTTTTGTTATTGACTATCCATAGACAACCACAGATGAAAAATGAGTTTATAGTTTGGAAAAAATCAGGGCTTACGTTCAAAAGATAATTACAGGGCTGTTTTTTAATTGTTTTCTTATATTAATATTTTTATTGTTTTTTTATATCAGTGGCGATTTTTCTGATTTCTGTAACAGGATTGGTAGTATTCTAGTTATTCCGAGTTCTAGGTAGATTTTCAATAAAAAGAACTACCCAAGTATTTGACATTGCCATCAGGAGTGTAACCCTGGCCCAATGCCGTTTTAATATTTTTTTCTGTCTCCAAAGGTCAAGAAGACTTTTCCCCTGAAGAAGACCGAACCATCCCAAATGAGAGGGACCAGGATTCCTGAGAATTTCAGGGAGGTGGCAGTTGAACCCATGCCGTACCAGTGCCAGTTCTTTCGGTAAGTTGCTTTCACAGAAAAATCTTTCTACAAGTTCAGTTTTATCGCATGAAACTGGTTTGGTTTTACAACCGTGATAATAGTGGCAGTGTGTAATTTTTGAGTTTGTTTTGTCTGTACGTACTGTGCTGAAGGCTGAGATTAGCAGCCCCTGAGTTGAAGCAATGTATAAAGGCCTCACCATCATTGGCGGTTTCTTTATCAGTTAAAATCAGTTGAAATCATGACATGAATTTGGCAGCGTTGGCTTGTTCAACAGGAATCAATCAAAATCTATTCGTGACTGGATCCCACAAAATGAGTCTTAAGAATGGAATAAGATCTTTGTTTTGAAATATTGTCCATTTTGGCATCCTGACAAATACGGACAATATACAGGTGCAAAATATTGAGAGTTCCCATTGATTTATATTAGTGAATGATTGTTTCTGAGGCCTTTTGCTCAAAGTTGGTCTGGCGACTTATGACTCATTTTGTTAAATTGGGTTAAATTGTTCAACATGTATAATTTTTTTTCACGCAGATCAACAACGAAGATCAAATCGGTACCAGTGACAAAGCGGCACCGAGACATGTTCAGCGCCGCTGCCAGATCCAAGCCAGGACCCCTTGCCAAGACCAAGCACATGTCCTTCTATACCAAGCCGTTCCTGTGGCAGGCAAAAGAGAAGATTAGTAACCCGATCGAGTAAGTGAACCCCTGTTAACTATCTTGGCGTACAAAGTGATTTACTTTGTTAATGGTGAGCAGTGGAATAAAAATAAAACAATGATTTGGCTGTCTCAAATATTAAGCACTCTCCCTGTTAAATAACTTTGCACAATATATTTTGGCATATAAAGTCAGAAATAGACTTGCGCCGGCATTCCTCAACAATCTCGTCACACCAAAAGTCAGTCTCCGATGTCATTGCACCCAATATGCCTTCAACTCTTCCAACGTCCACACTGTGGTTGGCAGGCATCTTTGGTTGCTGTATCTACCCTCTGGAACAGGCTCCCAGCACACATCCAAGACTCAACCTCATCAGACGAATTCAAGACTCAATTGAAGACACTTATTCAAACTTCAGAAAGCGCTTACAAATGCCTGTTAAAATGCGTAATAAATGCAACTTATCGTACATGTTAATTTTTATTTACAGCTTAGACCATTTTTAATATTTTTATTTATTTCCTTCCTGAACTGAATGTTAGAATGGAGAATCTTCCATCCCGATTTCTGGAAGAGGAGGAGAATTTGCGGGAGGTCAGAGGTCAGAAGCGGAAGTACAGCATCCCCTCACACCGTCAGGGTTACAATGATCTCTATGTGGGAGGGAACCCATCACACATGGCTGAGAAGTAAGATAAACATTAACCACTTCCTGCCGGGTGGAATTTGAATATGCGGGACCTGAGGTACCCGGTACGGGGAACCCCGGCACTGAGTGGTTAACCCTAACCCTCCTCAATCCTTCACCTGTTGGAGGACTGAGGAGTGTTAGGGTTAGTGCCTTATTCCCATGGGGATTGAAGACACTATCATTTATCATTCTTAGGGGAAATCTTTTTTTTTTCCAGAGAGGTTTGGTGCCATTAAATAGTATTTGGCCCTTGTTTTTCTGTGTACACTTTCAAAGATTATAAGTTAGTGACCTTCTTTACTTTGAGTTAAGCCTTCAATAAATCTGTTTCTACAATGTAGCAAAGACCATTTTTATCCCTGAAGAACACCAAATATAATGCTAACCATGTGTGTCATTGCTGGTTTTATATGGTTCGTTGAAGGCAAAAGCTCAATCAGGAAAAAAAAACAAACTTTGACCTCTGAAAATTATCTGAAAGTGTGCGTGTTTCATATTGTCGCGCATTGTGTGTCTCTCATCATCAGGTTTGACTATAAAACGGAAGCGGACAACCTCAGACACATGGTCTTACCTGACAACGCTCAGGAGCTGTACATGGGACGTGGAATCAAGTTACCAGAGTGAGTGGTGCGGTACACATTGACAGAACAGTTTGGATTTCCATCCACCAAGTTTATTTAAATAGGCCCATAGTTATAGCATAAGGGTTAAAAAAATTTGTGGGCTACTTCACAAGAAGGAATACGTGTATTTGGTTTGAGATTAAGAGTAAACAGAGATGAAACTAATCTAAGAATAGAAATAGTCTCTTTTCTCTTGGAGTGATTGTAAGTTTCAATAATGGCAGGCGAGTGTTCATAGAGCTGATGGGCAAAAGTTGAACGAATTCCAGCTGCGGTTAATTTTACAGTGGTTTTTCTGCAACCTTGCATTCAGTTTTCATTTTCGTTCGTGTGAAGTCTAAATGGGTCCTTTTGTGAAAAGAAATCTGCGCAGGAACATCTATCCGGTAATCTTGTACTGGAAAAGGAGAGAGTCCACCAACTAATTTTTATGTGTTATTTACAGAACTCATTCGCTGAACAGAAGAAGAAAAGATTGGAGAGACAAGATAGATGCTGAATATGCCCTACCAAATTCAGCCCCTGCAGAAGTGTCAGAGCCTTCCGTAACAACAGCAGCGACGATGTCAACAGTAGCAACGGTCGACTCAGCCCCAGCAGGCCGAGCGGAGGCACAGCCCACGACGAAATCTAGGTACACCCTCAGCCACCCGCTGCCCAGAGTCACTCGCTCCCATTCCATCTCCCATCACGACGCCGACTCGCGCAGTAGCGTAGCTAGTGAACGATCCGGGGCCAGCAGCCGGAAACCGGAACGGCGGAAGTCCCATCCAACAGATGGAGCTAGACGAAACTCGGTCGCTTCCAGGAAGGGGAGCATTGCAGGAAAGGCGCCCAAGGACCAGCCAAGACACGAGGAGGCAAAAGTTAAGGATCAGCCAGCGCAGTGAGTGTCCACCTTGCTTTGTAGTTGGACGATATTTTATCGGAATCCATGTAGTTTACAGTCGTGGAGTTGCTTCTCTCCCGTTATTATTTTGTGAATACAGAACTTTTTTATTTCCCTCCTTGTAGATAGCTTGCTTCTATATTGATATCAGATTGATTTTTATGTCCCACATCCTGATACATTGTAAGAATCATTTTTAATCAAAATTCATTAAAAGCAATTAATTTGGTAAAGGGTATCTATTGTCAAGTACGTCTAAACCACCAAGTTTACGCCAAACAGCAAGCTAGTTAAGAAAACAATGGAAAGTGGACAGCACATGCCTGGATTTGTTTGATGAAATAAAACCTAGACTTTCGACTGACATTTTTGGTAACATTTGAGACGAAACATCAAAGTATTTTACTGAGCTTAGTATTTGACAGTATACTTGACTACAGTTGTGCTTGACTTCAGCGCTGGTCACCAGCCCTTATCATTTTTTTAATAAAAACTAGAAACTAGTTTGACCAAGCAGACTGTTACACCATTCGGTGGGAAACCCACCAATGGCAGCGCAACTGGATATGTGCAGCACCGTCAAAATCAGTTAGTCTCCCCAAGTTACTGAGTTGTGCCTCGCATAAGCTGCTCTCCTGGTGTTGTGTTCATTTGATTCAGTCGTTGTTCAGTTCTCTCGTATCTGTGGTTGAGAATGAATAGGTTTACTCCATCAGAAAAAAAAATGTCAATTCTCACTGTGAACGTATGCATTTGTGCTGGAAACATTTATGACTGATTTCCATAAATGTATCTCGAGACCTTTTTTCCAGTCATTTTGTTTGAGTTTGCTTCAGGGAGGGGAGACTAAGCTCTTTGGATTCACACTGATGTAACGCTGAGTGCAACATTCTGATTACAGCAGACATCAAGCAAAAATTTGGAGAGTTCCTATAAATGTGCGNAGGATGGATCCCTCTCTACACCATATAAGCTCCACTCCCAGTTAGAATCCTGCAGTCTCCTGAAGACGGACAGAGTACACTGTTCTAAACGTCGAGTTATTCCCCGGTTCTTCTCAGAACCACACATACTCAAAGAAGAGATAAATACATGGTATTACCGCAATCTTTACTATAGAAAAACTACAAACTCGTTTGACCAAGCAGACTGTTACACCATTCGGTGGGAAACCCACCAATGGCAGCGCAACTGGATATGTGCAGCACCGTCAAAATCAGTTAGTCTCCCCAAGTTACTGAGTTGTGCCTCGCATAAGCTGCTCTCCTGGTGTTGTGTTCATTTGATTCAGTTGTTCAGTTCTCTCGTATCTGTGGTTGAGAATGAATAGGTTTACTCCATCAGAAAAAAAATGTCAATTCTCACTGTGAACATATGCATTTGTGCTGGAAACATTTATGACTGATTTCCATAAATGTATCTTGAGACCTTTTTTCCAGTCATTTTGTTTGAGTTTGCTTCAGGGAGGGGAGACTAAGCTCTTTGGATTCAAACTGATGTATCGCTGAGTGCAACATTCTGATTACAGCAGACATCAAGCAAAAATTTGGAGAGTTCCTATAAATGTGCATCGTGCAAGGTTCTTTTGAAGACCTTAAACTCCAAAGTGGCTCTGGCGATTTGTGATATCAGTTTTCTACTTCTGGTCACATTTGGGCAAAATCAGTTTCGGCAAAGCTAAACACACAAGCAAATGCAGCACATTTTAGTTTCTGGATTCTTTGTCCTACTCTCGATGGAAACATTTTAAGTTGACTCTGTTCGGCTCTTGTTGCTCGTCAGACCTGAAGAGGCCGCCTCTGCTGCAGGTGAAGAAGTAGACATGGAAAGGGAGGAGGAAGGGGCGGGGGACGCCTCCACCGCAGTTGAAGTCCAAACCATCCCAGAGGAGAGCAAAGATGAAGTAGTGGAAGATAATAGGTACGTGGGTTGTCCAGAACATCTAGGGGATAGACAAAACATCCAAAATTAAAAAGGATTTGGATATGAGCATGGATAAAGGTATTTCTTTAGTAAGGTTTCTGTTCCCTCTTGCCGTTAAGGCATACAAAAATTCTAGATGAAAAAACTGCAAAGGCTTAGTATAGTCAGACAGAGGGTCTACAGATTGATGATTGGAAATAATTTCTGATTGCACGAGTTATATTCTTTTTTTAGTATATAGAAATTCACTCGTAATTTTCAATTGGCTGTGATTCTGAAATGGGAGACAATGTACACTTTCAAGTTGTTAAAATGGCTATATTTTTAACCCTAATTGGTCCTGTTCATTCCCAATCAGGCCTGATTCTGAAATGGAGATGGAGGCTGTAGAGGAGGACCCAAGTCGGCTGGGCGTGCATCCAGGCTCCTCCTCCCCAAAAGGGGCGTCGCCCAATCCCCTGACATCCATCGACATCACGTTGCACATCTCAGCCAGCCAGAAGGATGAGTTGTCAGAGAGGTTTAAGAAGCTGGACTCGAACAAAGACGGGTGAGGCAGGGTTTTGGTCAGGAGAACTTAACTGAGGAGTAATGGATGGAACCTCATCCGATGGCGGAATGTAAGGCCGTGTTCAAAAGTTATGGCTGCGGCTGGAGATAACATGTGTCCCTATGAAAGCCGCTGGCTAGCCCCTGCAGCCACTTCCCAGTAACAAGTGTTAGTCCTGAGCCACAGGCAGTAGATTTGAACACGGCCTCAGATATGATTGTGTGAAGAAATGTTTGTCAGCTCTCGTGGATGGTTGATGTGTGACCCCCTGTGCATGTACACTCTGCCTGCTGACTGACGAATGTTGATATCAGACCCGGGGAGTCGGGTTGGCAAGCTAGTTCTTTCCTCGCCTTCCACCTCTGTGTTCCCGGGTTCGATTCCCGGCCCGGTCCACATGTGGCTTGGGTTTTCAGTCCCTACGTGACTCTGTGGGATTTACCCAGAATATTCCTCTGGGGTTTTCCTCCCACCTCTAAAACTGTAACTGCTTCTTACTGTCTCCTCTTTACTGATGTTGGTGAACATGGGTCGTTTGGCGGCTGCCCGAGGCGCCCTTGTATGCCATCGGCTCAACCATGCTTAAATGTATTCTTTGTTCCCCGCTTAATGTCTTTCATTGTACAGTGCATTTGAACATATCTATATGAAATTTGCGCTTTATAAAGGAATAAATCTAAATCATTATAACTATTATTGGAATTATTATGAGTATTATTGTGGGAAAAGTGAACATCTGCCCAAGCTCACGTGCATTGGCAGCATTTGTGAAACAAGCAATGTTCCTGATTTCATCCTGATCAACTTAAAGGGGCATAAGAGTTTTTGTTTTCCCCCCGCCGTTCGTCGGTTTGTTGATTCCATGGAATGAGTGCATTTCAGGCACCCTGTTTGTCTTATTTCAGGCACATTACATTCCAAGAGCTGAGTGGCGTCCTTCCAGAATCCCTCACCAAATCGCAGAGAAAGTTCATCAAGGAAGTAAGCCCTCTATTGTTGTGACTGTTTATCACATTAAGTCGCTTAGCAGTTTATTCTGCTTACAAGCTGTTTAAACTTAGACCCTGATCTTTTCTACCAATTCACATTTTGGACATGGAGATACCGATATCAAAGTTACAGTGGGTTTTGACTGAATCAGCAGAAAATGAATAAAGTGGGCAAACAAGTGTCGCGACAGGTTGTCAATAGAAATATGAATGGTTGAAGTAGATTGAGCCCTTTCCTACCGCAAATCAGACAAAACATAACATTTTATACCGAAAATTTGTGCTTCAGTTCTCTCATTCTCTTGGCCCCATTTTGTAAAAAACCAAACTTCAATTTTGAAAATAATATAAAATAAATAAATCTTAGTGTTCAAGGCCAACTAGTGCTCACTCATCTGATTTTTTTTCTGTCTCATCTTTTGGAAACCCAATATCACAATCCACACAGTTTATTCGGGTGAGTTCCTCTGAAAGATATCCCTTGATTTGAATGCATAACCTCTATTAACCTCCTCTAGCCCGTGGAACTGTAGAATTCTGTCGTCTGATAGAGTAACCTAAACAGATAAATGTATATATATCAAACACCCTTTAATATTCTTTTAAGTAACTTTTAATTATCCCTGAAATATTTTTATCCTTTTCTTAAATTGAGAATTTTTGTTTTTTATTCATTCAGATCAAAGTGTCACAGTCATGAAAATCTTCAGACTTGTAACATCTCTCCTAGGCTCATTTTTCTAAGGTTCTCTATTGATATTAAACTCGAATGCATGCATCTCTCTCTTCTTTTGAACCCTTCTGGTAGCTGGTTGTGAGTGGTGTTGGGTTTCTCAATCTTTTTTTGGAGGGGACTCCTTTCAAAATTGTGATCTCCGGCTTAATAGGTAGAAAGCACTCTTGAAGCACATTTTTGTGTAGCTCTTCGCTTTAGCGGCAGTAAACATTCCAGTTTTAGTTCGTGAGATGGAATTTGCACCCAGCACACATTGTAAAAAATGCTTGACCAATCTGTCTATTCCAGGTGAAACCTTATAGTGGTTGTTTTTATGATTTCTTTGCTCTTTACTAATGGAAAGGGACAGGTCATCTTTGATTCTTTCTTGTGAAATGAACTAAAGCCTGATGTTTAGCTTTGAGTTTGGCAACTGTCGATTGTTTTGTTCTTTTTGCGGTTTTTAGTAGGCCTCTGATTTAAGTTTGATGTTCAGCAAATGTTCGTTTCTGTGTGGGTGTGATTGACGTGTTCCTGTTTATGTCTAATGTGAGTTTTTAAAATGCTTTCTCTCAAATACATCTTGATTTTCCTGTCTTTTTGTCAGTGTTTATCACGCATGCATACACATGTGTGACAACCGCTGACAGAATATTTAATATAGATTCTCGAGGAGTAAACGCAAGGGAAACTACTTTAAGTGTGGCAGTAATGTGTTAAGAAAGCCAAACTTTTCATTTACAGCTCTGTTATCCTTCTAAAGAATCATAAAACAAATGTTTTCATTCAGGAGAATGATCGTACATGTAAAAGTGTTCATCAAAACCCTTTTTGTTGGCAGTTTTGTTTGTAATTTTCAGCTTTAAAAGAGGAATTCAGTTCCATGAAGTTAGTTTCTATTGATTTTATTTATCTTGAGTTAATGGGGGAACTTACGTTTCTCTCTTTGTAACTTGCTGGAGGACATACGCTCTGTGACCTCACAGGCTGGACTTGAATGCACTGTCTCGATTCAGCAACCAGGATTTGAGTTTGGTGCACTGAGTTACACATCTTCAAGCACTTTGAACTCCAAACTGTGGTCACTGTCTTCTACGGGTCACTCATAGTCAACATGGCTATCCTTTCAGTAGTGCCTTTTCAGTTCCAAATGCACCGTTGTGACCGTACCAGCCCTGTGTTATATTCTTCCTTTGCAAAGGTGTACGAGGCCGTCAGCAGTAGCACTTTCTTTGGTCTGGAGGAGTTTGTAGGTGTGACTTGCTTGGCCGAGATGTTGACCAAGCTGCCTGAACCTGTCAAAGATTCCTATGATGCCATCGACTTTGCTGCAATTCAGCAGTCCATCATGCAGTTTGTCGTAAGTTGTCCTCGGCCTCTTGTCTGTCTAGAATTACAGTTATTGGGGAAAGATGGAATCAGACTGTAGCGGAAATGGAGATGCCAGAAAGTGAAAACCTACGCAGAGGTTTGGTATAAATAACAAATTCTCAAGTACGCTGGAAGGTTTGTCGGGAGATAAACGGTGGTTTTGCATGAACTTGTGCATGAAAAGGTCCCACTAATATATGCTCAGAAACGGGTTTCATTTTAAAGAAGCTTTAAGTTCTCTTCTTTCACTTTTCCCCAAGTTGGAAGAATGAAAAACGGCAATAATATAATGTTTTTCACTTAAAGGCAAAAACATTTTAGTTTTCCTCTGTGGTTGATATAAGTGCATTTTGTTCAGTGACCCTTCCACCACTGGTGGATCTGTCAACATGCTCTGGTTGATTTCAACATGTCTTGTTCAAGATCACGATCTTATCAGGAGATCTTCTGTTTTAGTGACATTTTTAATTTCAGTTGAATGAAACCTGACTTGTTTTCAGATGATGTTCTCGTCGGTGGACAGACAGCAGACTGGTGCCATATCCATTCCTTCCCTGCTGGAGGTGGTATCGATGGCCACTGATAGGGACTTGGTGTCAGACCAGAACCAGACCGGCCAGATCCTGACAGCTGTCGGAAAGGTTTGTTTCAAAATTAGTCCTTGCATTGTTCCATTATCTGAGGACATGGTTGGGACATTTTGTCCTTTGGTGCCCAAAGTCTCACTGTGGTATTGCTGTAGTGTTTTTAGCACTCTTGTGGTGTCTTCAGAAATATTTGGAAAAGGTTTCAGAAACTTTTCTCATTAAAAACGGTGTCTAGAAAGACACAAATGTCCCTTCCTTGTTTTTAAGCACAAAACTAAAAACATCATTACTGAAAAGTCGGTGTGATTAAGAAGTTGTTTCCTTTTTTCGTACTAAGTTGCCCCTATCCTATAGCCCGATCAATCCTTTATTACTTTACTTCATTTGGTTGCCTTATGATGACACCTGTCTAGAAATAATGTATAATGTGTGCACAAATACATGAATTGTATTTTTGTTTTTCTGTCAGCAGAACCTGACTTCCACCATTGACAAAGTAGAGTTTCTTGCCTTCCTGCCATACTTCCTTCAACTTAGATGATGTTTGGTACCCGACCATAGTTGAGAGGTTGATCATTTTTAAAGATGCAATGTCTAAAAATGAATACGAGTCTCACAGCTTCAGTTTTTTTCATGAGTTCTTTTGCAAAGTAGAAATTGTGACAAATCTGTGGTTAGACTTCATCTACTCTGTTTCTTTGAATGTTCAGTATCCGGTGTGTAAGTGACCTTGTCACAAAGGCGGACGCTTCACGGTTTGCAGGCTCCCTTTGGATGATTGCTGAAGTTGCGTATTAACTTCCAATTCCATGGTTCCATGTAAACAGCGATCAATGCATGTAACTCTACATGCAGTGCATGGGCAGTGGGTGTGGTCTAAATTGAAGTGACGTCACGCATATGAACCGGATAATGATGCACTTTCTGCTTACACGGGAACCTGCAATGAATTGATGGAAAAAATTTGAGCTGTTCATGCTTTGTTTTGAGTGTTTGGAAAGGCTTGTTTGTGTGTTGATGATGTTTCCCTGGTAGGCTTCCCCATAATCTTGAACTGCATGTACATTGAAACTTCCATAAATTGGCTCTTCCAGTTTTTAACTTTTCATTTTTCACTGATGAGCAAGAACAATTCAGAGAACCAATGTATTCCTGAGTTAGTTAAATGAATGTGTCCTTGTATGTGAACAGTCTGTTTACTGGGCTTAGAAGCATACACATATTGCTCCAAACAGAAGCTGACATTCTAAGTTTTAGTTTTTAAAGTTAATTGACGACCAACTCTGGCCGAGATTCTGTGGACCTTATTCTTTCTTGTGACTTCAAAATGTTTGCAAAATGATTGTTTGCATATTGTGATTTTCTATAATGTCTCTAATTTTTTATTTTATAGAAAGAACAAAATACAGGAAAAATGTCCGACCAGTTTTGCAGTTTTGTGTTGATAAGCACAGTTCTCTCTTGGTTCTTGGCAAATTTTGTTTAACGATTTTGTTCGAGATTAAATCTGGTTGAAAGAGTTTGTGTAGTATGATATGTGATTGTTAAGTATTCACTTAAGCTTCATATGATATGTTTCTTTATTTCACTTCACTTTCTTGAAGTGATTTTTTAAAAGTTCAAATGAATGCCTCTCTTTAAATACTTTCGAACTGGATATCCATTGGAAATAGTAAGTTGTTTCAGGGCAAGTTTATTCTTAAGAAATTTCCACATGCTGACTTCTTAAGCTATGATGAATTGTTTTGCAAAGGTGGTGAGTGACACAGTGAAATGTCAAAAAATTTTGTTGTCCTTTGAGTCCATGTAAATTTATATTTATCCTATAAAATCTCTGCTGTTCTGGCTTAGTATTTTAAATGTTGGTTGCATTCCAGTGTACAATGTAGTACCTGTACACTGCTTTTGCATCTGTTTGCTTTAAGTCTTTGCAGTTATGTACAGGTTTGTATGAAAGGTACCTTTGCTACTTTGTAGCACAAATTATATACAAATGTATGATAAGCAATGAATAAAACAGATCAACATTTTTTGGGAAGTTCTGAGTATTTTCTCGTCATGGTTTCTGTTCTGAATTGCCGAGACACTTGTGCTGCAAGTGCAGCCCTGTAGTCATGGGCGGGGATTTCTTGTCATATGTGAAGGGATGATTTCTGAAGTGTCATCCTTGTGCAGAGTGCAATGGTGTAAATAGGGCTAAATGTCCAGTGGGGCACCCGAGGTGCACACATTTTTTTCAAGGGCGCACCACAAGACAATAAGCCGCTGCTGCATAACTAAACTACAAATGGGAGGGGGCATCTGGGGATTATGCATACGGGGGGGGGGGTATATCCCCCATCCCCTTGGATCCTCCCACTGCCTGTTGTTCTACTCCCAGTTTTGAAAGCCCAAGCAGGGTTGATGCATAGTTGGTTACGGACCCGTGTTCCAACCATAATGAGCACCATGCGTGTACGAGTCGTCTATGGTTTCATGTTCTGCCCTTAATTAGCATGGGTGGGGTAAAAAAGCAACATATTTTCATGTAACCCTTGATCACCTTGCTGAGGGCTGAAGCTACATTTTGATTTTTTTGCGGGAGACGGAGGGGAAATGAAGGTTGTAACACCCTTCCCCCAAGCCGCGCCCCCAATAAAAATCCCCACGAGAAGTCTCACTTGGTACCCCGACGCCCACAATATATTTACCATGTGTGCAAGCTGTATTAATGCTGGCTACCAGACTTACTGAACTTTTTCGTGTGTATCGTGTGTACCTTGCTCCATCGTGCGTGCGCATGTCTCTTTTTTTTTGGTGAAAACAAGGGTGTCGCACGTGTGCCGATGAAACTTGGCACTCGGAGTTATTAATCGTATTTTTCACTGAAGCAAGGACGGGTAAGTTTGGTTTGATCCTTCAACTTACTACATGTACAGTAACGATACTGTGAGCATTCCATTAACAAGCCTTTCCGTGTCGACTATAAGTATAAGCTAAAACTTAAAGCCAGCTGCTGTCGACAGCCCTCCTTCCTCCATCAGTCCATGCTGTAGGATACTGCCGATTTGCATTGCACATGTTTTGTGATAAATTGAATAAGGCTTAGGCCACTGTCGCTGTAGGCCAACCCCCCCTCTCTGGCCAGTTCTAATAATACATGGTAATCGTTAGAACTAGTCACTAGAAGGTATCTTCAGACAGACGGAGGGGTAGGCCTTCTTGGCAATTACCTTTTTTTAGCAGCAGCCAATATTTTCTGATGCAGCCATCATTCATGCCACGCAACCATGACAACCAGCATCATGAACATGGTGTCTCTTCTCAAAAGTTGGAAATGTCGCAGTGTCCACGAGATTAGGAGTTGGTTTGATGAGAAGAGGCATATAGGCCAAGATCTACGGACGCCAGTAATTATTGCCTACAGTGTCAGTGACCTATTACTAGCTATCAGAAAGCAGAAATATGTCAAGAAAATTTCAATTTAGGAAGGACAAAATCCAAGTCGTTTACTTACATTAGACCACAGACAACACCTAGAATTTTCAGACCAGTCCCATAGGGTTTGTGCAGAGGGTGTCAAGTGGCGTCCGCACATGGAACTCTTTCCGGTTTGATTTTGTTTGGAATTGTTTTTCTTTACAGGTAGCATGTGTAGGCCTAGGCCTACAGTCGTTTTCCCAGTTCTGGATTTTTCCTAGTTCTGGTTCGCTTGAAAAGAAACACAATCATTTTTGTATTGTTGTCGGATACCACATTGTAAGATGATTGCTGTTTTGAAACATAAAATGTAAGCTTCTATGTTCTTGTTGTACAGATTACACTTTCAGAATTTGTCGCATGTCTAGAAAAGGAATTTCAACCAGCAGTTGGACTCACATTTTGACATGGTCAGATGGTTTGTCAAAAATTATGGGAGCCAAAAAATTGACAAAAAAATTAGAGGCTAGAGGGTCACTCACTATCCTTGATACCAAGTACATGTTTCATAGCTGACAGTAAACTCTCACATCAAATGTCTATCGCATCTGAATTACTTTTAGAATCTCAATTTTGGAAAATTTACCAGAAGCTGAATGTGGTGAACGTGGGGAACTCAACTACATAAATTTTCGAAATAGATTCAAAAAAATTGAGTCAAAATTTGCCCAAGTTCTCTTTTCAAATTGACTGGAATTTTAAAATATTAACTGATTTTCTCTAAAGAAATTCTTCATCACAAAGTTCTACTGTGGTTCTTTCTGAAAAATTGATTTTTCCCTTTATTGCTTTTTATGCGCAAAGAAGATTTTGAAGTAATCCAGAACTGGCGACACCAATCTAGAACTAGAAAAAGTGTTTTCGTTGGTTTTGTCAATCCTGCAAGTCCAAATTAAAAATTTGAATTTTGAAAATATTTTGTATTGTCTCCTACATGCAAGGTGGACCACTGACCACATTTCACTGGAATCTGAGGATTATTTGAGGTGCAGTCAGGCTTGACCAATTTTCACGATCTGGAACTAAGGAAATAATCATGGTTCTTAGCCTGAGTTGATCCCCCTTGCCTGATGAAACCAAGATGAAATCTGAACCCGATAGAAGACGACTCTTTGTTGGAGGTCTGCACAAGGACGTCACCTCGGCAGACCTTGAGCAACGCTTTGGAAAGTTTGGATCAGTCACAGATGTCAATGTCAGGACAAAGCGGGATAGTCAAGGTATGCAATGCAGGTTCCAGATGGTCAGAAATTGGGCCCAATGTTATGATTTCCACCGGAAATATTCCAAGTAACTTAAGTGCACAGAAAACCGGGGCTGTTTACTGTTTTCAATTATTTTTCTGTTGTTGCTCATCATACAGATAGTAAGCATAGAGACTGCTTTTGAAGCATTTAAGTTCTGAAGGAGAAATGAAGAAGGTTTTTTCCTTTTTAAAATGCTCGACAAAGTCATGCAAAGAATTTCTTCCACACCTTCAGAAATTTGATGTTACCTTCAGAAAGTTCGAACGAACATTCGCTTTCTTGATTTTTTTTAACAGGTCAAGTAGTGAATGTGTTTGCTTATGTGGACATCAACATCACTGAGACCAATTTCAAGAAGTGTAAGTCCTTGAAAGTTTGAGTAGCACTTACAGGTAGGGCTGAGACAATTTGAATAATTTACTGTTCGAATATTCGATCTTCAATTCGATCGAATATCCAAATATTTGGTTGTACTGACCGACAGATTGTTGATGAACAAACCATATACAAAGTCAGTTGCAATAACACACACAATTGTACATTATAATCACTATAACAGCTTCCCATGTCTTGGGGTATCTCCAGCCATGATTTAGCAAGATTGGAGAGATGAACAAGACTTCTTGCCCTGTTGAAAATTTCTATTCCTTTTAAATTTGTTACTGAATAATTTACGTTTTGAATCGTTGTAAAATTTCTGTCGCTTTTCATTTGAATCTGCTTGAAACAAGCCTCCATAGTGCAACTCTTCTCATTTAAAACAAAAGAAAATTCTCCCTTTTCATGAATTTTGCTTCTGAATATTCTACTTCAAAAAAAATTTGAATATTCGATAATCGATTGAATATTCAGATGTTCAGCACAGCCCTACTTACAGGAGACACTAAAGCGATAGAATGCTGTTTTTCTATAAATGTCAATTATTCAATTAAACTCTTATCTGTTTTCAACATGACCTGAGAATGGGTTGAAATTCTCATTTCCTCATCGGTGACTTCCATGTGCTACTTTAAGAGCAGCGCCAAGCCTTGCAGTGCTCATTTGTAGAAAATTAGAAAGTTTATACCATTCCACAAATTTTTTTAAAAATAAATATTCTTAAAATTGTTTTTACTTTATACTGATTTGAATCTTGGCAGGCCTATCAACATACAACAATGCCAAGTGGAAAGGACACATAATGAAAGTACAAGTTGCGAAGAAGGACTTTTTGACCAAGTAAGAAACATCCAGACTGATGGTACCATCAAAGTAAAGACCGGTTTATATTTCTTGAAAGCATAACATGAAAGCAAAACTGCGTTGTCAAATCTAATATATTTATGCTGCAAATTTGTAAAGCTTAAAACCACTTAAGTTCAAATAAATTTTGCTGCAACTGCTTCATGCATTGGCATCACTTTCACATTTGTCTGAAGTTTGAACCGGCCTTTGCTTTGTTTGTTTGCTCCTTGTGCAATGCGATGATGGCTTCTGAGTTTACCTTCCAAAAACAAATACACCATTCCTTCGTGGTTTGTTTATTTCAGACTTGCAAAAGAGCGGAAAGAAGCCCAGGAAACCCCAGAGCCTGACATCAAGAAGACAAGAAAGCTGAAGGAGGAGGATTCAGCCAGGGAAAGGCTGGAGGAGAGTATGAAGAAGGCAGGCGTGGAGGACTTTGTCATGAAGAAAGCTGTTCCTGGGACACCGATACCAGGAGAAACGGTTAGTTCAAGTGGAAACCTTGCTTCTGGTGTTGAAGGAAAATCTTTATTGATGTTGCTGATATTCAAACTGATTTTTTTTTTCCTCTTGATGCAAATGCTTTTAAATTGGGGATTTTTGGTTCATTTGAATTCAGTTAGAGATTACAGAGATGTTTTTGTCTGTTGCATGGTTGGACAAAGGTGAGATGGTTCCCAAATGTGCTTCTTGAGTTTGCCTGGAATACGGGCGATTCACAGTTGTGCGCCACCAAGAGTTTGCAATGCGTTGGCCGATCATAATGCGCGAAATTTGTTGACCCTTTCCAAACGCGCATTGGGTCGACAAATTTTGTGCATTGTGATTGGCCAACGCGTTGCAAACTCTTGATGGCGCACTATTGTGAAATGGCCGTATTGTTGAGCATGCACTTATATGAACTTAATATTTGACTCAACAAACATTTGGAATCCCACTTGTGTTACAGTTCATACCAATGATCACTCTACTTGACATTCAAATTAGCAGATCTTCTGACATTTCTTTTTACAACATACCTACTTAATTGGAGTGTTTTCTAATTTTTTTCTGTCTCACAGAATTGGGTTGTTGGCAAATTTGGCCGCGTTCTTCCCATCATGCACATGCGGCGTAAGGATAAGAGATCAACGATGACCTTTGACCCCTCCAAGTATGTACACCACGTTCGTAAATTCAAGGAGGATGCCAAGAGTGACCAGATCATAGCTGGCAGACCTGTGGAATATCTGACTTGGCATCTTCCGGAGACAATATCGGATATGGATCGAAAAAGAATGGGTGATTTTCCAGAGTATTCACGCAAGAAGAAAACAAAACTTGGCCAGCAAGAAATGTGGTTCAAAGATGACATGTCTGAAAGGAAGCAAATTAGTCTTTCTAGGAGTACAGATGAAACTCGACGAGGCACAGGAAAGTTCCAACTTTCTGAGGGAGACTTTGAAATTGTCGGTTTGAACACTGGAAAATCCAACAGCAGCAGAACAGATTTGGTCAAGCTCAAACCTTACCGGGCGCAAATGCAAGGGAGCGTAAATTTCGACCAAAGTAGTTCAGTTGAAGGAGATCAGAGCAGGCTGTGCAGGGATGTACAAGACTTGATGGAGCAGTGCAACCTGGAATCGGACGACGATTCGTGCGGGTCAGCCGACACAGATGACATTTGCAATTTTGCCAGGAAAGGCACTGAGGCAGAGTCCGAAGGGCAAGAGTCGCTGAGAAATTGGGCGGAGGAATACTACAGCACGGAGAAGATGGCTGCAATGTCAGGCGGTACGGAAGAGTTTGACGGTTCCGGACAGGAGGATACCACGACTGAAATGACAGTACACTCAACGGGCTCATCCCCTATCAAGGAAAGCAGGAGAACAACTACCAAACCAATCGACAGATTCCAAAGTGTTTCTCCCGGCAGACGCAAAAAGGCAAATGGCCCACCTCCTGAAAATATCCAGCTTGGGAGTGCTGAGGAAAATGACAACAGTGGAGCAGAGTTCGATATTGATACGGCCAAGAGAGGGGAAGAGGATGATAAAGTAAACAAAGAAGACGGCGACAATTATGAAGATGGTGCTGATGAAGATGCCGACGATGATGAAGATGACAGTATTAGCAGAGATAGTAATGATGCTAATGAGGATACCGACGGCGATGATGATGATGATGAGGAGGAGGAGTTTGAGGCTGAGCATAGAGACAAAGCAGAAAATGATGATATAAACAATTTGTCGCCAAATGGCACTTTTTATCGTAGCGGCGGGGAGAGCATCACCCTGAGCGATAAGAGCAGAGTGCAAAGGAAAACAGAGCACAAGGGTAATCTTGGAAAGAGAAGAAAAAATGAGATTGTTGATGGGAGTGATGCAGGTGACGGCAGTGCAGACGACAATGCTAGCAATACTGATGACCAGTCATCAGATCTGGACGGTACAAGTGACACCGATTCCAGTGAAAGCTCGGACCCCACTGAAGAAACACAGACACCTCGAAGGAGACCGTCGACTGGCAACATGGTCTCTGAAGCAAGAAAACCTACACTGGGCTCTCCCGGGAATCCAAGCAAACTCAGGCAGTCCAACCAGATACGGTTGGAGTCAGTCAAGAAGAGGCAAGCGGCCATCTTGACCCAGAAGGCTGCCATCCAAGATGCCCTGAAATCTCTGGTAAGCAGGATGTGGCTCTGGGTCCCATTGTTTCCGGACCTCACTACATGTTTGCCTCACTCTTTTTTTTTTTTTTACATTTTACAAGTCAAAAATTACCTCTGTGGCTTTCTTTTTAGGTATCTGAAAGATTGAGGAGTCATTTATTAGAGGACGACATTCAAAATATGCAATGCTTATCAAATATGGCAGTTTAGGACATGCATGTATAATACAGCGTCCCAGATTGCAATATTGTGGTTAGATGTACATGTTTAATGATGTGGTTGTTTCAGCTCTGTGTATTTAGTTCCGTCTGAGAGTCTGTGAGTGAAAATTGGCAAGGTTTTTTTTTTGAGGTATATGGACTCAATCCCAAGACTTGCTCGCACGAGCGTTCACGCTTGTCTCTAATACTGACCGAGTTCGTCAGTGATTTCATGGCCGATTCCAGCATCAATCAAATTGCTGTTACGAATGTTTTGAGTTCGATCTGTGACTTGTCATTCCTCTTCAGGATTTGAAAGGGGGCTCACTTTCTGTTGGGCACCATGTAAGATTCGACTCGGATGACGAAGCCTCAGAAGCAGAGCGTACCGAACAAGATCAGAGTGTTATGTCTAAGGTATGATGCTGTTATGATGTTACTTCGTGATTTCCCCGCTCATTGGATGCGCAAACGTTTTATACACCCAAGGGAGCGGAATAATCAGGGGTATAAATGTTAAGGCA